AAATCACTCTTTACTATGTGTGGACATTATGGGGAAACTCACTCTTTACTATGTGTGGATACCATGGGCAAAATCACTCCTTCCTATTTGTGAACATATGGGGAAAATCACTCTTTACTATGTGTGGATACCATGGGCAAAATCACTCCTTCCTATTTGTGAACATATGGGTAAAAATCACTCTTTACTATGTGTGGACATTATGGGGAAACTCACTCTTTACTATGTGTGGATACCATGGGCAAAATCACTCCTTCCTATTTGTGAACATATGGGGAAAATCACTCTTTACTATGTGTTGATACCATGGGCAAAATCACTCCTTCCTATTTGTGAACATATGGGGAAAATCACTCTTTACTATGTGTGGATACCATGGGCAAAATCACTCCTTCCTATTTGTGAACATATGGGGAAAATCACTCTTTACTATGTGTTGATACCATGGGCAAAATCACTCCTTTCTATTTGTGAACATATGGGGAAAATCACTCTTTACTATGTGTGGATACCATGGGCAAAATCACTCTTTACTATGTGTGGATACCATGGGCAAAATCACTCCTTCCTATTTGTGAACATATGGGGAAAATCACTCTTTACTATGTGTGGATACCATGGGCAAAATCACTCCTTCCTATTTGTGAACATATGGGGAAAATCACTCTTTACTATGTGTGGATACCATGGGCAAAATCACTCCTTCCTTTTTGTGAACATATGGGCAAAATCACTCTTTACTATGTGTGGATACCATGGGCAAAATCACTCCTTCCTATTTGTGAACATATGGGGAACATCACTCTTTACTATGTGTGGATACCATGGACAAAATCACTCCTTCCTATTTGTGAACATATGGGGAAAATCACTCTTTACTATGTGTGGATACCATGTGCAAAATCACTCCTTCCTATTTGTGAACATATGGGGAAAATCACTCTTTACTATGTGTGGACATTATGGGGAAACTCACTCTTTACTATGTGTGGATACCATGGGCAAAATCACTCCTTCCTATTTGTGAACATATGGGGAAAATCACTCTTTACTATGTGTGGATACCGTGGGCAAAATCACTCCTTCCTATTTGTGAACATATGGGTAAAAATCACTCTTTACTATGTGTGGACATTATGGGGAAACTCACTCTTTACTATGTGTGGATACCATGGGCAAAATCACTCCTTCCTATTTGTGAACATATGGGGAAAATCACTCTTTACTATGTGTTGATACCATGGGCAAAATCACTCCTTTCTATTTGTGAACATATGGGGAAAATCACTCTTTACTATGTGTGGATACCATGGGCAAAATCACTCCTTCCTATTTGTGAACATATGGGGAAAATCACTCTTTACTACGTGTGGATACCATGGGCAAAATCACTCTTTACTATTTGTGAACATATGGGGAAAATCACTCTTTACTATGTGTGGATACCATGGGCAAAATCACTCTTTACTATTTGTGAACATATGGGGAAAATCACTCTTTACTATGTGTGGATACCATGGGCAAAATCACTCCTTACTATGTGTGGATACCATGGGCAAAATCACTCCTTCCTATTTGTGAACATATGGGGAAAATCACTCTTTACTATGTGTGGATACCATGGGCAAAATCACTCCTTCCTATTTGTGAACATATGGGCAAAATCACTCTTTACTATGTGTGGATACCATGGGCAAAATCACTCCTTCCTATTTGTGAACATATGGGGAACATCACTCTTTACTATGTGTGGATACCATGGGCAAAATCACTCCTTCCTATTTGTGAACATATGGGGAAAATCACTCTTTACTATGTGTTGATACCATGGACAAAATCACTCCTTCCTATTTGTGAACATATGGGGAAAATCACTCTTTACTATGTGTGGACATTATGGGGAAACTCACTCTTTACTATGTGTGGATACCATGGGCAAAATCACTCCTTCCTATTTGTGAACATATGGGGAAAATCACTCTTTACTATGTGTGGATACCATGGGCAAAATCACTCCTTCCTATTTGTGAACATATGGGTAAAAATCACTCTTTACTATGTGTGGACATTATGGGGAAACTCACTCTTTACTATGTGTGGATACCATGGGCAAAATCACTCCTTCCTATTTGTGAACATATGGGGAAAATCACTCTTTACTATGTGTGGATACCATGGGCAAAATCACTCCTTTCTATTTGTGAACATATGGGGAAAATCACTCTTTACTATGTGTGGATACCATGGGCAAAATCACTCCTTCCTATTTGTGAACATATGGGGAAAATCACTCTTTACTATGTGTGGATACCATGGGCAAAATCACTCCTTCCTATTTGTGAACAAATGGGGAAAATCACTCTTTACTATGTGTGGATACCATGGGCAAAATCACTCCTTCCTATTTGTGAACATATGGGGAAACTCACTCTTTACTATGTGTGGACATTATGGGGAAACTCACTCTTTACTATGTGTGGATACCATGGGCAAAATCACTCCTTCCTATTTGTGAACATATGGGGAAAATCACTCTTTACTATGTGTGGATACCATCGGCAAAATCACTCTTTACTATTTGTGAACATATGGGGAAAATCACTCTTTACTATGTGTGGACATTATGGGGAAACTCACTCTTTACTATGTGTGGATACCATGGGCAAAATCACTCTTTACTATTTGTGAACATATGGGGAAAATCACTCTTTACTATGTGTGGATACCATGGGCAAAATCACTCCTTCCTATTTGTGAACATATGGGCAAAATCACTCTTTACTATTTGTGAACATATGGGGAAAATCACTCTTTACTATGTGTGGATACCATGGGCAAAATCACTCTTTACTATGTGTGGATACCATGGGCAAAATCACTCCTTCCTATTTGTGAACATATGGGGAAAATCACTCTTTACTATGTGTGGATACCATGGGCAAAATCACTCCTTCCTATTTGTGAACATATGGGCAAAATCACTCTTTACTATGTGTGGATACCATGGGCAAAATCACTCCTTCCTATTTGTGAACATATGGGGAACATCACTCTTTACTATGTGTGGATACCATGGGCAAAATCACTCCTTCCTATTTGTGAACATATGGGGAAAATCACTCTTTACTATGTGTTGATACCATGGACAAAATCACTCCTTCCTATTTGTGAACATATGGGGAAAATCACTCTTTACTATGTGTGGATACCATGGGCAAAATCACTCTTTACTATGTGTGGATACCATGGGCAAAATCACTCCTTCCTATTTGTGAACATATGGGGAAAATCACTCTTTACTATGTTTGGATACCATGGGCAAAATCCCTCTTTCCTATTTGTGAACATATGGGGAAAATCACTCTTTACTATGTGTGGATACCATGGGAAAATCACTCCTTCCTATTTGTGAACATATGGGGAAAATCACTCTTTACTATGTGTGGATACCATGGGCAAAATCATTCCCTTCCTATTTGTGAAGATATGGGGAAAATCACTCTTTACTATGTGTTGATACCATGGACAAAATCACTCCTTCCTATTTGTGAACATATGGGGAAAATCACTCTTTACTATGTGTGGATACCATGGGCAAAATCACTCTTTACTATGTGTGGATACCATGGGCAAAATCACTCTTTACTATTTGTGAACATATGGGGAAAATCACTCTTTACTATGTGTGGATACCATGGGCAAAATCACTCCTTCCTATTTGTGAACATATGGGAAAAATCACTCTTTACTATGTGTTGATACCATGGGCAAAATCACTCCTTCCTATTTGTGAACATATGGGGAAAATCACTCTTTACTATGTGTGGATACCATGGGCAAAATCACTCCTTCCTATTTGTGAACATATGGGGAAAATCACTCTTTACTATGTGTGGATACCATGGGCAAAATCACTCTTTACTATTTGTGAACATATGGGGAAAATCACTCTTTACTATGTGTGGATACCATGGGCAAAATCACTCCTTCCTATTTTTGAACATATGGGGAAAATCACTCTTTACTATGTGTGGATACCATGGGCAAAATCACTCTTTACTATTTGTGGGTATTATGGGGGAAATTACTATTTCTTATTTGTGAACATTATTGGGAAACTCACTCTTTACTATGTGTGGACATTATGGGGAAACTCACTCTTTACTATGTGTGGACATTATGGGGAAACTCACTCTTTACTATCTGTGGACATTTTGGGGAAAATCACTATTTCCGATTTGTGAACATCAAGAGACATGCCATGATTGTTTTGTACTGCATAGTACATCTGCTTGACCTTACGGCACACAACAGTGTAGACAGGGGGCGTGGTCTGTGTGCATTGCGTGGTTATAACTTCCGGGTTATAGAACTACCTTTTACTTTTGAGTACAGTGCAATTTCCTTCCAAAGGTACAAAACACTTTAATATGTAATTGCTACATATTCCATAAAGATCATACACAACAACACAAAGGATGGGACTGTAGGGCGTGGCTACCTCTCTAGTTCCGGTCTAGATGTTGCCATGGAACATTGTATAGTATAATTTCTAACAGGTAGATATTGATCATTCATTGAATTGGTCGGGTAGCCTAGTGGTTAAAGCGTTAGCTCGTCACGCCAAAGACCCGGGTTCGATTCCCGACATGGGTACAATGTGTGAAGCCCATTTCTGGTGTCCCCCGCCGTGATATTGCTGGAATATTGCTAAAAGCGGCGTAAAACCTCACTCACTCAATCACTCATTCATTGTAGGATTACTTAATAGTCAGGCTGGTGTATGAGGGACTTGTTTCAAGCTCGCCCCGAGCCTAAGCGTAGGGCTGCGTTCGCCTGCCTCAAACCTGTATCGACCTCACCAGGCACACATGTTGTGTCGTTCATTGATAAGAATCAGAAATAAAAATATATTTCCTGGCGTATGAACAACTAAAATGGATACAGGACTATTGCAGATCAATAGAAAAGGTTGTAGTAAAATTGACTCGTCTACTTACGAAAATGTAGGTCTACCGCTTTTAAAGAATGCAAATGTCTGCCAGTGTTTTAAATCGAAAGTAGGAATATTAATTACTCTAACTGGGTCAATGTCAAGGCTGATGGTTGAAAGGCGGAGGGGAACACATTCCTTCGTTCAGCTCGAGAGACCTTCATTGAGATATCGTGTGATTTATGTTACCACTTATACAGTATGGCATTGGTGATTGTTTTTCAAGTGCGATAGAGTTTGCCTTGAAGAGATTGTAGTGTGTAAATGTATTGGTATTATATATATCAAGTGTCCCCCGTCGTGAGTGCTTCAAGTCTTGTGATCTCTACTCACTCAGTCGTTTGATGACGTCAGTGAACAATCACACTCTCCCAGACAGGTAGTCACAACATGGCAATCTGGCAGCCAATGTGACTTTAAATTTTAACCCACTCGCAGGCAGGTCACAAGAGCTTATTGATATTCGTAATCCGCGACATGTTATTTCACCTCGTGAACAGGTGCGTCGGTCGAATATATCTTCAACTATATATATAAAAAATGTACTCACACACAACAGGTGTATGCAAATGTATATACCCTGTGCTAACAAAAATGGATTTGTTTAAAACAGTTTCATTTATTCTTTTAAAACAAATTTTGAAAATTTGCAAGTTTTTATCCTACACCAAACTAAGATAATTTTATTAAACAATGTCTTCATTTTTAAAACTGCTTCAGACCCGTGAATATTCCGGGGTAGAATAGGTCTTCAGCAACCCATGCTTGCCGTAAAAGGTGACTTGGTTGATGTATGTCATCGATCCCAATTGCGTGGATCGATGCTCATGATATTAATCACTGGATTGTCTGGTCCAGACCCGATTATTTACAGACCGCCGTCATATAGCTGGAATATTGCTGAGTGCGGCGTTAAACAACAAACCAACCAACCAACTAAAACTGCTCTAAAGCACAATTAATTCTTTGTCCAGAATGCAAAGATATTTTGTATGCAGAACAGAGAGGCAACACTTCTTTCATTTAGGAATATCGGAATATTTGATACTTTATTTGCTGTGCTCGGCGATATACAAGGCTAAACATTACAAAGTATAAGAACTTTAACCACTGAAGACACTGATGTTAATTATTTTACCAACAAACAATATTTTGTACAAGATTTGCTACGTAGACAACGACTAATGTATCTTCTGTTCAGAAACTATTGAAGACGTATTTGGGTGGTAAAAGTAAAGTGGACTCCCTTTGGATTGATTTAGAAAAATGGATATTAAATAAAATACAGATCAAAATTAAAATTACTAAAGTCGTTGTCTTAACAGGCTATCCAGCACAGAAGTACAATCCAATAAATGCACTAATCACTGTACCTAAATACATGAGTTATAGATATAATGTTTTCATCAAACTGCCTACATTTGTCCAGCTTAAAGAGCAGCTCACACAACATTACTACACGACCAAATACAATGCATCAGTATATGTTAGCAAGAACGTCTTTAACAAGTTTTGGTAAAATTGTCACTCATTATTTCGTTGACAACTAGTCTTGTGAAGTTTGTATATACATCACTGTCTTTAGTTACAGAAACTCGTGATTTGTTCATTTGTAATATGCAACAGGAAATAAATAAATAAATTTAAAAAGAATCACTAGTGTGGCATGTATCAAGGTAGAGATGCGTGTCACACACAGGACAACCCCAGCTCATTTATAACATTGGTATAAATCATGAAACACGCAGTTGTCCCCCTTGTGAAGGCATGGACATGATTATCCCTCGGGAAACTCAATCGATGCAATGAAAACTACCTATTATAAGAAAAAAACCATATTCATTGCAATAATAAAGCAAAATAATAAATTAAAAAGCATGCATTCTATTTAATAGTTAAACACATAATAATAGTAAAAAGAAGTCTTAATGACTTTGGTTCGATCCCCGGCCGCGTCATACCAAAACACGTTAAAAGTTGGTACTTGTTGTTACCCTGTCTGGCGCTCGGCATTAAGGGGCTAAAACAAGGACTGGTCGGCTCGGAGTCAGTATACTGTGTCTGAGTTGGGTATTCATGTTCAACTGCGGCATGGTATCTCAGTGAGCTAGCACTATAAATCGGCATCAGTCCGGACTAGTACAAGCAGCCACACACACACACGTACATGCACGTCGCTATATAAGTGCAATAATCTTGGACGCGACGTTAAACCCCATTTCACCTCACCTCACCTCACCTTAATGACTTTGCAACTGCATGCGCTAAAACACATAAACAAACTAAACTATGGTAGATATATTTACACGGAGATCACGTTAAAGAAAACACCGGCTTGCCCCAAGCTCTTGTTCATTATATGAACTTTAAACTATGATTAATCATAACAAGTTAAACGAATGTTGCTAAAGGTCTAAGAATACCTGTTTTGAGTATCTACATCATACGTATACACGCTCACATGGACTCACATCAACACTTTGGAAAACACCCAATAAGATTATACCACGAAACATCTTAGCACAAGTCACGAAACATCTTAGCACAAGTCACGAAACATCTTAGCACAATTTAATGAGTCGATGTTTAATGTCGGCAATATTCCAGCCACAGCGAGGAGAGCAAATGATATATTCACTAACAGCATGCACGGTAAAACAAAGCAAATATAACAGATTCAGTGTACAACACAATAGAGAGATGAAAGTAAACACTCGAACCATCTAGACAAATAAAGAACCATAATAAACATGATACTAACGTGGGTCGTGAATCATGTGTGATTTCTGTAGACACCAAATATGTTGGATGGTTGGTTGGTTAACGCCGCACTCATCAATATTCCAGCTCTATGACGGCGGTCTGTAAATAATCGAGTCTGGACCAGACAATACAGTGATTAATATCATGACCATCGATCCACGCAATTGTGATCGATGACATACATCAACCTTGTCAGCGAGCCTGACCACCCGATCCCGTTAGTCGCCTCTTACGAGAAGCATTGTCGCCTTTTACGGCAAGCATGGGTTGCTGAAGACCTATTCTACCCCGGGTCTTCAGGGGTATCTACTGTCTTTTCTTGCTCTTGGAAACGTCTTGCAAATGTTCATATTAAAATAGAAGCAAATAAATCGCCATAACCGATACAAAATGACTTGTAGGATAGTTTACCTGTAACACTGACCTAGGTATTCTGGAAAAAAAGTAAATCGAACACGATTGTATCGTACAATAAAGAACATAAGATGATTATTCGGTGACCATTTGATTTTCTGGGGGGAACCTGGAATTTTGTCTGGAGATAAGATATTTGTTTTCAGATTCAGCTGCAAAACCAGATACTTTCTTTTTCAGAACTCTGAGTCTGAACGTTTCAAAAGAAAGACACCTTGCAACAATGTAATTTTTTTGTGGCAGACAGTTTCTTATATTTTCAAGTTTTCAAGCATTTTTCAAGCATATATTTTTTTTTCAATCGAGGACCATTTATTTTTGTCGATACAATCCACCCACTCCCCCTTCCTTGAATGTCACATGTCTGGCCCCCTACTACAACCCTTCAGCATAACGAACGAACGAACGAACGAACGAACGAATGAATTACCTCCGAAGTTGAATCCGAAGATTTTACATAGGCAAATACATTACTAACTATACATCCATTAGATTACGTGACTATATACAATGAAATCATGTTATACAGTGCTATGAATAAACAATTCTCATTGTACATTTTGTGTGCAGAAAGGTATATGTGTCTCGTAGATATACATAACGTATTTCTTCAAATCTCATATAAAGCGGCAGCAAGACAGTATGATGCTATGTCAAGTATCGTAAAATCAATTTGGTCAGTCAAGTCATGAACCGAGAAAGAATGAAAGCATATCTAGTTTCACATTTACATCAACATCAAGTTTATCAGTCAGACATGAGAAGACATGATTTCTCTCACACATAAAAAAATCACAGTGCAAAACATATGGCCATCATAGTCATAGCAATGTCTATTACAATGGTTACATTCTTTCGACACTTTTGCTCTTGATCCGTCTTTACAACAAAGTTGCAGGGGTTGTCTTATTTGTGCATAGAGATGCATTACATTATAAAGAATGTGCATTTGTAACCGTTTATGGGTTTTATGGTACCGTGAAAATTCTGGTAGTCTCTACCTCGAAACGTACTGTTCATTCTCTGATAGACGTCTGATTACAAGAGCTCGCCAAGCCGATTTAGTTGGGAATGAACCACTATCAGTATATTCTTTGATATAGTTATCTGAATGATATTTTTAGCAGTATATAGAAGGATGTTGCATATGCTTACTGGACGGCTAATATTGACAATAGCGTTGGTAGCAATGTGAACACAAAATAGATCTTTTGTGGAATAGAGATATCATATCTATTGAGCTAGGTTCATGAAACACAGTCTTTCATGTTAACATTTCAGTATTAACGTATTCCGATGGAACTGATGACGACGATGAAGAAAGCTGCTGTATAACATTACTCATTCTAACTCGTTTATAACAAATAAATGTCATCCCAGAAAAGGCTACACCACTCAGACAAATGTGGTTGTTACCGGGGGTTTAGTAGTCGTCGTCATTGAAGAGGTAGGTGCAGAACTGACAGTCTTGGTGGATGTTCTCAATGATTCTGACGACGTCGTCTCGCCGGCTGTCGTCTTGGGAGAAGTACTGCACCACATGTCCGACCTTGAGTCCGTGTGCTATCAGCTCCTGCAGCACGTGGTCCACACACGCCTCGCGCGGCTGCCCCGCTCTCTGACTCTGCCTGGAAAACAACAATTGCATATTGCAGCTACAGTATCCCCTCGTCTGTGCATCGTTTATCTCAGTGCCGTTGGATAAAAGCCAACGTATTTTCTATCTTTAGCAGACCGCCTCCATGGTGTATTTTATAGAGCGTCTTGAGAGCGGAAAGGAGTTGGTTCGATCCCCGGCCGCTTCGTACCAACATACGCAGAAAGATGGTACTTGTTTTTCACCTGTCTGGCTCTCGGCATTACGGGGAAACAACACGGACTGGTGGGCTCAAAGTCTTTATGCTGTGACCGAGTGATAAAATGCAACATGGCATCTCTGTAGGCTAACACTATGAAACCGGCATTAACCAAGTCTAGAATGATTTGGCAAGTCTAGATTGCCTCGAGTCTGAAATTAAGGATTGCTTTGGGCTCCATTTGGATTATATTTGTTATATTTTGTACATAAATATTTTAAATAAGATAACTTATTTCTGGAACAAAATGTCAGTTCAGTAAGTATTGTTCTGGGCTCCACTGGATTTTTTAAAAATCTTGTAGATATATGTTTTAAATAAGATAACTTTATGTCATCCTAGGATCTACACATGTGTCGCTTCATGGGAGCAACAGTCATCAACTGGGCATTAAACCCCATGTCACCCCACCTCTTCATTAACACTGTACGCATTTTCTACTCTCTAGTTCCGCCCATAGGGCATCGTGTGCACATGCCCAGGGTATGACGTGTATACATTCAGACCTGCACTTTTTGTCATACCCTCGTCAGGGCACAGTGTCTTCGTCCCCCAAACTTAGCATTTTACAGTGATTGTTACAGGTATGTGCAGCTGCTTTTCTATTGCGTTGGTAGCCTTCATGTAACACTAATAAGTCATTAATAAAATTATAATGTTTCTATTGACACAGGGGCGATGGGGTAGACTAGTTCGCTCGTCACGCCTAAGACCGAGCTCGATGGGTATAATGTGTGGAGCCCATTTCTGGTGTCCCCGGCAGTAATATTGCTGGAATATTGCTAAAAGCGGCGTAAAACAATACTCACTCACTCACTGCTATTGACATAAGAACTAGTATTACTATAATTGCTATCCATGGATTCCTAATAATGCATCATTCATGCACCGTATGCCATTGTAAAAGTGGAGAGAACGTGAGCTATGTTATAGAGGTTTAATGTTATATAATCCAAACTCCAAAACATATATACTGATGAACATAAAGTCACTTTAACTGTGATGATATTTCCTACCTCCTGTACAGGCATATAATTTGATTAAAAAACAACAAAGTGAAAATCAAATAACAGAATGAGTATTTTGAGATATTACCAACCAAACTGAATTATTTTAGATATTTGTTGCAAAATGAGTTACGCTTTTATGATGCACACAATCAGTTTTGAACAGGGAAGGTACCGAGCGTGACTCAATGAGGAACATTGTGGGTGAAATCGTTTGTTTGAAGATGCAAAAGTTACACAGGCCATGGTGGACAATTCCAAACCTGATCCTGCACTTGGATCCTGACAGAGTTATCACCCTTACATAAGTTTGTCTATTTCCCATCGTTCCTTGTTTGGCAGGCAGTGCTTGGCGAGACCTTTCACCGTCTGACGCTCTGACAATGGTTGATCTGGACGGAGCGAAAACACCAGTTCCTAAAAAAGAAACATTGGTTTCAGAATAATAGAGCCACAAGGCACTAAAGCCACGACATTGGCGCACTTGACTCTCAGCCCGGGGAGGAACAACCAAACTCTAGAACTGCATGTGGAATCAATTATAATGGTATCTTTATATGTTTTCAGTACAAGACTGAAAATACCTTTGCTTCAGATGAAGAGGTGACAGGAGGCTCGCGCATGAAAGAAGACGTTTTTGTTTCATAAAACGTTTGATCAATATGTATATTTTGATAAGACCCTACCTCCTTCAGCTTGATGATCTCCATGCTGTCTCCACCTGTGTACAACAGCTCATCAACACGGCTGGTACAGGCTTTAGGGTTACCTGTTACAGCAAAGAAAGTGCATGCCTGTCTTCAATTCTTTATTCATGTACATATGTAGGCCAGCGGCCCATGGTACACTATTTGGTCCATCATTAACATTTATAGGCTTAGTGTTTGGAGTCTAACATTCATAGCATGGTATATAAAAGTTGCAACATTTCTAATAACAGTTTCATTGTTTACCGCCATAAGCATATTGAATTTAGCAAGAGTAGGATGTACACAATACTTCTGTGGTAAATACTGAAGACGAAGTTCATCATAAGCGTTACAAATTAATAAAAAATGATATTCATTCTCGACATATCTTTGATTGCAACTATTGCACAATCACTCCTCTCGTGGAGTATTAACGTATCTACCAGTCTCAATGTGGAGAGTGTGGGAGCTACAGCGAAACTGGGCTAGTGCAACAGGAAATTTGTTTATAGTATGCTTGTCTTAATGTGAGAGGATACAAACATATGCAGACTTTATGGTGAAGTCAGTGGGAAAGATATGGTGCCCACAAACAAGAATCGTCTTAGGGAATCGAAACTGGGATTCGAACCCAGAACGACCAAGGGAATCACCGTATTTCCAAGAGCCTAAGAGGCGTGACTCGGATATTTGAGATGTCACGTGTAGGCAACCCGTATCTGGAGATTTACATTTATCGGAATATAAGTGCAAAGAATATATGGTGATAGCAATGGTCACATCAGGATTACAGTTTCATTGACATGGTGACAGTTCTAGTTGTAATAGCAGTAGTAGTAAAGTTTAAGGGTAACTTGTCCCAAAGGACGGCCTATTTGCTCATCAGCGGGTTGTTACCTTGTGAAGAGTTGTTTCCCTTTGACCAACTCCCACACGATAAACCAGGGGTATTAATAGAAGAAGCGCATGGGTGGTGACCTTGGCCTCTGAAAATTGCCTCTTCCGTCAGTCTGTTCGTCTCAAACTTTCGCCACGTGTGTGAGGTGGACGCTGATTCTCCGGAACAGACCTTGAGACCTGTTTCTTCTGATGTGGAACGGTGATTGTTCTGAGATCCTCGCCACCTGTTCTGCTCAGTACGATCGACAGTTCGTTGATAGACGCAAAAACATTTTCTCCGATCTCCGTGGCTCCGAATCTGGACAGACATTCTACAATCGATTACTGTTCGTTGAATTTCGTGTTGTTAAGCAGTTTCACCAGTTGGTTGGTTTGTTGTTTTACGCCGCAATCAGCAATATTCCAGCTGTATGACGTCTGTAAATAATCGAGTCTGGACCAGACAATCCAGTGATTAATATCATGAGCATCGATCCACGAATTGGGATTGATGACATGCATCAACCAAGTCAGCGAGCCTGGCCACCTGATCCCGTTAGTCGCCTATTACGACAAGCATAGTCACCTTTTACGGCAAGTATGGGTTGCTGAAGACCTATTCTACCCCGGAATCTTCACGGGTCAGTTTCAACAGTGTGGCATAAATAGCTGTAATGGCTGCTAATGATCACTTATCTTTCTCGGGTAATATATGATTATGAAACAGATTGCGTCTGATGGGATTATATTAATTTCCTATTTACAACGTTCTCCAACATTCTCTCGTTGTAATACTACATTTACTTACCATCAACGCAAAGAGATATGGTCCACATCTGCTTGGGCGACCAAACAAAATCCTGCATCTCACGCAAGACTTGGTCTTCTTTCTCGCTCCTTTCAGTTTCCTCGCGCAGTACCTCCCCCTGTGCATGCCACTTTCTGACTTTTTCTGACATTTTGGCTTCTCATCAGTTTGTATGTCTGAGCCTTGTGGCTTGTCAACAGATTTTATGTCAGAACCCTCTGGCTTGTCATCAGCTTGTTTGTCTGAATTTTCTGGTTTGCTCTTAGTTTGCATGTCTGAGTGTTCTGCCTCGTCATTAGCTTGCATGTCTGAACCCTCTTGCTTGCTCTCAGTTTGCCTGTCTGAGTCTTCTGGCTTGTCATTAACTTGCATGTCTGAACCCTCTCTCGTCCCATCAACCTTGCCATCAGTTTGCATGTCTGAACCCCCTTGCTTACTCTCAGTTTGCCTGTCTGAGTCTTCTGCCTCGTCATTAGCTTGCATGTCTGAACCCTCTCTCGTCCCATCAACCTTGCCATCAGTTTGCATGTCTGAACCCTCTTGCTTGCTCTCAGTTTGCCTGTCTGAGTCTTCTGGCTTGTCATTAGCTTGCATGTCTGAACCTTCTCTCTTCCCATCAACCTTGCCATCAGTTTGCATGTCTGAACCCTCTTTCGCCCCATCAACCTGAGTGCCCAAACCTTCTGGCCTGTCATCAGATTTTATGTCTGAATAATATGGCTTGCCACCAGCTTGACTGTCTGAACCCTCTGGATTGTTCTCTTCTACGTCCTCATGTAACATGTGCCACGTAGTTGGATGTTTCTCAGCACTCATGTCATGTGTTTCCGATTTGCATTCTGCCAGATTTGTTTCTACCTCCCATGGTACATCACCAAGCCCTGATGTTACAGTGGGTGACTGACACAATCTGTCTCCCCCCAGCCGATACGCATCTGAGTTGCTGGGTCTCCTTTGAGCGTTAGACCTTTTTGTGTCCATGATCCTATTTGTGTCGAATTCTGACAATGACGCTTCGCCTAGATTTCGACTTTCTAGATTTGAGGACTGATTTTTCAGCTCGGAACCAGCAACGTTGGACAACTTAACACAAACTTCCTTTAAGGCAAAATCCATCTCAGTATTCACCATATTTCTACAAGATGATCCACACGCATCATCCTTATTCTCCGGATCCTGAATTTTTCTGAAATTTATCATCAGAAGCTCGTGTATTGCAACTATAGCAATACACTTCAGGAGGAACCACTGCACACTCTTCTCCGGCAAGGTAGGCTCATCTTGATAGTCAGAAATCAAGGTACATGCATCACCTGGATGAACCATATGGTTCTTCCTAATTGTGTCAATGAACGTGTGGCAAGGCGGGAACCTTTGATACCCGGCGTGGGACTGATTATCAACGATTTCTGCCTTGCAATACATGTCTTCGATGTCCGAAATAGGTTGTTGGGTGATTATTTCATGGTCCTTCTCCGTGAGGTCGTAATGATCAGCCGTATTCCATGTCCCTTCTGGCACACTGAATGCGTTAAGCTTCACTAACAGTGAACCTTTCAGAAGGGACGGCAGACTTTTAACTCTCATTCCCCGAGAATTGTTAACAACCAAAATAAGAGGTCTAGGTTGGAAATCACATGCATCGTTGTTACTTTTCATTCCATTTCCTCCGCCAAGATCATGGACATGTCGGAAAAGCCATGTCAGCACATTCTCACAGACACCGATCAATCTTGATGCAGCCAGTAGCATGAGCTGAAGTCCCAACATAACCCACACTACACAGATGTACCACAGACTGCTGTTGTTGGTCGGCGACTCCACATCAGGCATCCTCATCGTGATTCTGGTGCAGTTGGTGACAGATTCAGCACAATATCGTCAAAGGATCCGACATTCCTTAAAAAAAGTAATGTTTATCAAACACAGATACACGCTCATAATGTTAACCACTAGTCTGACCCAGACTCGATCATTTACAGGCCGCCGAGATGCTGCTGGATTAGTGCTGATACAGCCAAAACACTAACGTGATGGAGACAGAGCGGGCATGACGTGTATTGAAACCTGGTGACTACTGTCGGAAACCCCGTCAATCCGGTGATTACTGTCGGAGACCCCAGCCCCCTGCTGATTACTGTCGGAGACCCCACCCCCCTGCTGATTACTGTCGGAGACCCCACCCCCTGCTGATTACTGTCGGAGACCCCACCCCCCTGCTGATTACTGTCGGAGACCCCGCCGACCCCTGCTGATTACTGTCGGAGACCCCAGCCCCCTGCTGATTACTGTCGGAGACCCAACCCCCCTGCTGATTACTGTCGGAGACCCCGCCGACCCCTGCTGATTACTGTTGGAGACCCCTACCCCCGCTGATTACTGTCGGACACCCCACCCCCCTGCTGATTACTGTCGGAGACCCCGCCGCCCCCTGCCGGAGACCCCACCCCCCTGCTGATTACTGTCGGAGACCCCGCCGACCCCTGCTGATTACTGTCGGAGACCCCGCCGACCCCTGCTGATTACTGTCGGAAACCCCACCCCCCTGCTGATTACTGTCGGACACCCCACCCCCCTGCTGATTACTGTCGGGAAACCCCGCCGACCCCTGCTGATTACTGTCGGAGACCCCTACCCCCGCTGATTACTGTCGGACACCCCACCCCCCTGCTGATTACTGTCGGAGACCCCGCCGCCCCCTGCCGGAGACCCCACCCCCCTGCTGATTACTGTCGGAGACCCCGCCGACCCCTGCTGATTACTGTCGGAGACCCCGCCGACCCCTGCTGATTACTGTCGGAAACCCCACCCCCCTGCTGATTACTGTCGGACACCCCACCCCCCTGCTGATTACTGTCGGAAACGTTTGCATACAACGGGATATTATTACATGATCCGTTAATCCGATTTGTTTCCGGAACTTGTTAAAAACAAGTGTTTTCCTGTTTTTACCCCCAAAATATGGTCTTCTGGGCATGCTTGAATTTCTTTTTAAAATTCGTTAAAATTGTTCAGAGAATGTGAAACTTGAAAAATGCTGTCTCTAACAAATATCCAAGCCCCCCCCCCCCCCCCCCCCCTCCTCCCTCACCCCCTATAATATCACGTGGTGGGTCCCTTTACAGGGTTTCATTTCATTCACATTCTAATTTATCTGACAAGCGCACATAAAATGACTTTTGTAATATTTACATAAATCGATCAGATCGACCGGAAAATACTGCTGTGTTGAAGTTGCAAGAATCATAGATAGATTGGGACAAGATGCAGTTGTGTTGTACAAGACACATCATCTCCCGTGTAGCTGGAACTTATATTGAAGCACTGTGGGTCCCACTACGAGGCCAGCATATCTGACACTGCATTGTTGCGATCAGTCATATAATCATATATGTGACGCATTTAATCTTCACGACATTAAACACGAGATTAGTCACCTTTGTTTCGCTGGTAATGCAATAATAACACAACTATTTAGCATTTTACTCACGATAAACAGGCAGGCGACTGACAGCAAAGAAATTTCCCTGTGAAATTCCCAGCGATCTATATTTAGACTCGTGGACTTTACGGAAAGGCACGAGGCGTGCCGATGATACTCAGGTATAAATAGTGATCCTGATTCGGCGTTAATGCTGTCGTTAGTAAAATGATTAAACGTAGAAAAGTCGTATATACGAATAGTATCTCATACATGTAATCCCTGACATTTCAGTTGTTTTCAGTGTTTTAAAAGAGACTCGAAATGATAATCATAGTTAGGAATGGGATCATGATTTGCATGGAATGAATAACCCAGACCTCGTCAGTAAAAGTCCTTTGTCTCTATCAACGTAAAAAAGACAAGCAAATAGAATAGAGAATTTGAAATAATAGCCAACAACGAATCTCAAACATTCGCAAATATTGTGAGAGTCAATTACATGCAGTCACTTGGATAACCTACCTGCCGAGGGGTGGTAACCATCCGGAATTTGATGAGTCAAATTAAAATACAGAAATGTGAAATTTGCTTATTGCTTAGCCCCATCAGTATGTTTTTAATGTCCTGCATTTCAATATTAAGATCGTCATCATAGAAACGTATTAATAGTTAAATGTGAGAACTTTACTCTACTCCACTCTACTCTACAGAAAATAGACAAATGCCAAACATCAGTTACGAATGATTTCAACACCTTAAAATTACAAATACTCCCTCGTTTGAAGATCTGCCTGTCACTGTCTCGACAAAACAACACAAGTCCAGAACATATAATAATAATTTACTTGGCACTCTCTATGTAACTTACTTGTTATGTAGATACAGTTTACCAAGACAAAACTGTCTGTGAAAACGGATGACATACCCCGTGAAATAATACGAGTCACGTGAGTTTTATTTGTTTATCACCGACAAGCAGTGATGAAACATATACCCTACAGCCTTTAGTGTATCATTGGCATCCGATCTCTTACCGAGTCAGTCAGCTATATTTCGCTCCAAGTATAATCTCGAGCAGACATGCCACTGACTGACACAGGTACCATGACTGGCAATCACCCAGGTCACAGAGCCAGACTACTTGATCCATGTCAGTCGACGCTTAGGACAATCATGTGTTTCGGTATTGAACACCCCCGGATTCGTCAGGGGGTCATTCTTACATGCTTACCCTTTTGGTTTCATCACTGATTTACAGTGGTCGATTCATATTATTTTCAATTTTCACTGCTATTTGACCCTAACACCGAATGGAATCTGTTTCGGCCGACAATCGAGATTGGCTCTTGTCGTTATATATTTGTATGACGAGGGTCTCAGCCCTATTTATCCTACGGAGTTAAATTTATCCTGCGAAGTTGAATGTATCCTTCAGTGTTAAATTTATCCTGCGGAGTTAAACTCCTCAACACCTGGTACAAGCTGACAAAACGTCTGCAAGTGTTGGCCAAAGGATTGAAATAAACGTCTCTTGGTCTCTTTCATAAAGTGTCAGGTTACAGAATTGTATATCATCTCACAGAAGTCACATTTCGTGTGAATCCTTTGGATCAGCAGAATAATATCTAGCCGTTTGCTGTGTTGTAGCGAGAAGTACTCCACGACATGGCCCATCTTTTTGTTGTGGTGTTCCAGTTCCTTGAGGACGTTGTGGACCCCGATCTCAGACGTGTTGCAGCCTGCCGGGTAGTTTTTCCTAGGAGAAAGGAATAATTAATAGTAATCTTCTTAAACTTCATATTCTTGCTTTGGATTGTCAGACTACTACTACTACTATTGGTGCATCGAAATTCATTTTTATAATTTGGAAGGTAGAAAACCAATTAAAATCTTTCATGTTGGAGAACAGTTACTACCTTTGAATTTTTATTTGATAACGATATCCAAACATTCAATATACATGTAATCACACTAAAAGAATCACGAAAACGACTTCCAAACATAGGATCCGTGTCATACCATATTGTATCTATCTGCCATGACTTCCTTTTCAGCACATGGAGAGCTAACCCGTAGGCCGTCTTGTGCTTGTTTATCTGGTTGCTAGCTTCTGACATCTCATGGATGATGTGCTGAACCAAAGGTTGAAATGGTGAAATATATACATTATTTATGTACAATAGAGATAGAACGCAAACGAAATTATTCCAACACAGATAAAAAAAAGCAACAAAACCCTTTTTATATCCAAGAGAAATAGTCCATTGTACGATTCCGCCTACATCATGGGCATGTGTTTATGAATCACTATCAAATTGCTAGGATACCAGGTGTTCACGAAAAGGTGAGCATATCCTGCCCCACTGGTGGCACCCATCACAAACACATGCAAAGGCAAGTTAATTGTTAACCTAAGAAAACACGGGAACATATGGCACAAGTCAAAACGGATCTGAATCGGACACCACCTTTGTCACCGATGCGCCACACCTAGAAATGTCTTCCACATGTCTACCATAAAGCTTTAAAAGGCGCATAAAAGGCACATGTACCTGTATTTACGAGGGACAAACACCACTTCAACAATATGCCATTTATACCACAGGGTGTCAGCTTGTTGTGGACATAACCCATAGCAATGCATGCAGTAGAATTATATTATGTGAAATGCACGAACATAATCGGGTTCGAATTTAGGATTCTACTACCAGTGGATTTTAATCACTGATCATTAAGGCCAGTTCACCCATAATGAAACCAATGCGCTGGAAAACGGATAGATGTATCATCAGAAGGATCAGTCAGCCGAATTATTTCTATCAATCAATGCTGGTCAACCAGGGGAAGTAACAGGCTCATATTAGGGAGTAAGTACGGTTTTACACCAGCTTCAGCTTACACCAGACATATCACGGCGGGGCAACCAGGGGCAGTAACGGGCACACATTAGCGAGTGAGTACGGTTTTACACCAGCTTCAGCTTACACCAGACATATTACGGCGGGGCAACCAGAAAGGGTGTCTACACTTCATGTCGGAAATCAAACCCGAGTCTCAGGTATGAAGGAAGAGTGAGTGAGCAGGGGTGAAATGGTGTTTAGCGTCAGGACCAAGATTATTGCACTTATATAGCGATGTGCATGTGAGTGTGTGTGTGGCTGCTTGTACTAGTCCGGACTGATGCGGATTTATAGTGCTAGCTCACTGAGATACCATGCAGCAGTTTAACATGAATACCCCACTCAGACACAGTATACTGATTCCAACCGACCAATCCTTGTTTTAGCCCCTTAATGCCGAGCGCCAGACAGGGTAACAACAAGTGAAATTTTGTAACGTCTTTGGTATGACGCGGCCGGGGGTGAATGAGTGAGTGAGCATGGAGCAACAGTTTTAGTTCGGGTTTTGAACTTGGCCAATAAACCAAGTTGTCAACTCCCAGAGACTGCAACTCTTGATTAACGCCGAAACAGATTCCATTGGACGTAAAAGCCAACATAGTGATTACAATTATATGAATGAATCAATGAAAATCACTGATGACACCAGATGTTTGTAAAATGGGCGAGCATGTCCTATCTACTTGTGACAGATTGGTGGAGAATCTGGTTGAGTTTAGTGGTATCACTATTTCTGGCTAGATGTTACCAGTTTGTATAAATGAGACTATGGAGCGACTGAGGTGAAGGTGAACCTGTAGCAGCATTGGTAATACCTGCTTGTCTTCAAGTGTCTCGGCATCATCCCCCGAATGGTCCAATAACAGCTTCACTGATGCTGTGCATCTTCCAGCACCTAAAATAACATTTAATATTATATTCCGGTGTGTGTATCGAGATTGGATATTTTGTTAGCTTCAGCTACAAAACCCAGATATTTATCATTTAAAACTCTGAGCCTAAACTGTTAAAAGAAAAACTCATTGCAATAATATTATTTTAGTATCCAGCAATAACTTTTTTTCAACAGTCGGAATAATGGTCGGTTGCAAATCTGAAACAATCCACAGTTGAAATGAGGGCTTCTCAATCCATTGGAACATTAACCTGTGAAGATCCGAGTTAGAATAGGTCTTCAGCAATCCATGCTTGTTGTAACAGGTGACTAACAGGATCGGGTGTTCAAGCTCGCTGATTTGGATGATACATGTCATGGTATCCCAACTGTCTGGATCGATGCTCATGATGTCAATCACTGGATTATCTGGTCCAGACTCGATTATTTACCGACCGCCGTCATATAGCTGTAATATTGCTGGGTGCGGTGTTTAACAGCAAATAACGTAAGCTAACCATTGGTACACTAATAGCACATGGATTACACTTTTGAAAATCTGACATGGGCAAAAATAAACAATTTCAATATGGCTTTTTGAGGGATCATATAGTTACATCTCTGTCAACCCAGAGTCCTGAGGGAAGATGTTGCAGATGCCATATCATTAGCTCGGACAGAGAGGGATCTGTTCAGGGCAACATGACAACAGCTCAAATCCTCCTTTGGTTCAGGTTGGGAGCGCTCAAAATGAACATCAACAATCAATAAGTAGATAGATTGTTAGAGCTTAAAAAGTCATTAAGCCGATTTCACTCAAGTAAAAAGTGGTATAGGGCCTTACTAAATTATTTTCGATTAGAAAGACTTACTCATTTCTTGACGCTCTGCTTTTGTTACAACACCTTCCCCGGTCTGCGTTTCAGCAGATGTCACATTAGGAACGCTCTCTCCTTTCTCAGGGGGCTTTGTTTCGGGATCTGCACCTCTCTGTCTCTCCACTAGTAGCGGCTGCTGTCTGTTGTCTGTCCCTGTGTCTCCTCCTGCTCTCTGTCTCCCCACTGGTACCTGCTGTTGTCTGTCTTCTGACCCTGTGTCTCCTCCTGCTCTCTGTCTCTCCACTGGTACCTGCTGTTGTCTGCCGTCTGCCCCTGGCTCTCCTTCTGCAGCTATCTGTGTCCTAGCTGGTACCTGATGCTGTCTGTCGTCTGTACCTAGCGTGCCATGTGCAGAATATTGCTTGATCTGTCTCACCTTTGGTCTGACCAACTCATCTTGGCTGTCGTCTGCTCTATCTTGTGCATGCTCTCCAGCTTTTCTCCCTCTTTCCACATTGGCAACTTTTGGTACCATCGCTGATGCACTACATCGCCCAGTTTTACATTTTAACCCTGTATTACCATCAGGACCAGCATGTTGATCTGTGTCTGTGTTGCGTGGCCCAAGATTGCCACCCATACCAACACTAACCGCTTCCTTTCTTTGCGTTTGTTGACGCTCACCACGAGCAGCTTGGTCGGTTTGTGCACGTGGATTTCCAGGTGGAAGTACTGGGGAATGGTCCGCGGCTATACCAGGAGCTGCCTGACTAGTATTAATCCCCGGAGGCATTGCTTGTGTTGAGAGATGCATGACAGTAAAGGACGCAGGATCTAATTGCGAAGCTCCTTGGATTTGTACAGGATTCGATTCTGTTATGGGGTGAATGCAGTGTGACGTTTGTTGAAAGAATGTTCGTTGTCCGGATATTGACACGTCCGTTTGCCCGTATCGGGCTCCCTGTAGAGGCTCTGCACCAGTCGTTCCTCCTGGAAAACAGCAACACGTGTTCTTAGTGCTGTACTGAGGTTAATATTAGCCAATTCACTCTTACATCAGCAATCATAGAATGAAAAGTAAGTTTTGCCACCAAGGAACATTATCAGCCATGTACCATCAGCGTTATGAAAGTCTTTCATGTATTTGGCTTTTGATGGCCCATATACGTGCATTTGATGTATATATATACAATCACTATTCACATGTTTTACTTACATGTTGTCAAACATTACAAAACATGCAATTTGTAAATATTTCTCATCGTTTAATATCCGCCAGCTTATAATAAATCCCGGAAAAGCTATTTAAACACATCTGTGACGTCATTATATTGTTTGAACGCTCCATTAGTTTTCAGGAATGGAGAGTTGCTTGTCAACTGTACATTATATTGAAGCAGCATTTGAATTTTTCAAATATTATCAACTACAGAATATTTTGTCAAAGTGTAAAAGTAGGGATGAGTTTTAAGTAGGGGAATATCCTCGTAACTCTCCATTCTTTAAAAATAATGGGCTCCATTATTTTTAAGGAATGGAGAGTTACTCGGACATTCCCCTCTACGTAATGACATATGTTAAGGTTTCTGCCAAGGCAGTAGTACCAGGGAAACTGTGAAAAGAAAATTGAAGAGAATGCATGATGACAAGTACCTGTCATTGAACGATGAGGCATATCTGGATAGGCCATGCGTTCATCAGTTGCGTAAATCTGAGTTGCCACTGACTTCCTCTGCACACCTATTGAAAATGATTAAACAAAAATGTTACTGATTGTAATAATCTTCTCTCTTCTGTGGAGTGCTTAACCTCCATGCAGAGAACAGTCACTAGTAAAATATATATGTCTTGTCACAAAATATCACTCTTAGTAATTAAATGTGTCAGTTGAATAAATCATTTTCAGGTATGTTGCTGGTCTCAAACAGGATAAAGAACAGTAATTGTTTCTCCTCTTTGACCTATACCCCAGCTTGAATTACGGAATAAATTAATTGTGTTGTGTGAAATGTTCCCAAGTATAATATGAAAGAACCTACATATCAAGTACAATCTTAAAGACAGCGTCATTATACTAGCACCATCAGTTGCTACATCGTTCAACTCCTCCCATGTTCCCCTGACCTCCCCATCACCTCATCAACACAATGTCTTCATCATTACATGCATCAGAGAACTAAAAACCACCGGGCAAAAGTAAGAATACACAATTGATGGTGGCAAATGAAATAAACAAGAATGCTTATTTTATGGTGATTTATGTGACAAAGTATAATAGTTGTGTTTTGGAGTTTACAGTGTTTCGGCGACTGTTTTCAGCATAGTAAACTTTTGACAACGTTTGTAATTTTACTGGTCAAATCCAATTTTCAAGTGTATACTTCCCTTTGGCCGGTAGGTTATATAGAGTACTACCATGTTCCCCCTCTTTGTACCGACCAGCAAGGGGCTGAGCTGCAGCTTGGGCTTCGCCCCTATCCCTTGTTGGTCCCTCTGGGTCCACTGGAGAGCCGCCACTCTGACCACCCCGGACCATCTCTTGTCCTCGCCCAGACTGGTCATCTCCACCCTCCTCCTCTCTACGTCCTGGTCGCTCACCAGCTCCATCTGGACCCTGACTGCCCCCAGACTGGCGATTTCTTGGCAGCCTATCCTGACCGCTCCTGGCCTGACCATCTCCAGGACGACCATCTGACCGGCTGTCTGTGGCCCCCATCTCCCTCGACATCTTCCACTGATGTTTCCCGCCAGCCGACAATGCCAATCAGAAACTACGGATTAAATCAGGGCAGTATGTATTCGTTTGTGTGACTTGTTTCAGTTAAAGTAACCGACAATTTCAGATGCGTGTGAACATCCTGGTGAGTGAGTGAGTGAGTGAGTATGGTTTTACGCCGCTTTTAGCAATATTCCAGCAATATCACGGCGGGGGACACCAGAAATGGGCTTCACACATTGTACCCATGTCGGGAATCGAACCCGGGTCTTCGGCGTGACGAGCGAACGCTTTAACCACTAGGCTACCCGACCGCCCCACATCCTGGTGGAGGAAAGCCCCAAGTGATACAGGTCCTTGACTTTGGTGGAGCCCAACAGGCTTAGTGCTGATTGTTGTTGTTTGTTGTTCAAAGCCGCACTCAGCAATATTCCAGCGAAATGACAGCGGCCTTCAAATAGTCGAGTCTGGTCCAGACAATCCAATGATTGATATCTGAGCATCGATCCACGCAATTGGGACACGATGACATCATCAACAAAAAATCATCGAGCCTGACCACCGGCTCCCGTTAGACATGGGCTGCTGAAGACCTATTCTAACCCGGATCTTCACGGGTCAGTGCTGGATATAGGAGGGATGGCTGTCTGTCTTCCATTGCATTTTACATGACGGTAACTTTCCAATGAGACAGACACATTTTTACTAGACGTAAAAGGCAACTAACGGGATCGGGTGGATGGATGCTCATGATATCAATCACTGGATTGTCTGGTCCAGACTCGATTATTTACAGACCGCCATCATATAGACTAGCTTGAATATTGCTGAGTGCGGCGTTTAACAACAAACGAACCAACCAACCACATTGTAACTGGAAATACACATTGCTTTAGATGTGTGAATAACTAGGTGGTGAGCTACGGGCCAACAGATATCGTTCTCTGTCGATCATTGTGTGGAATACTGTCAGGTACTTTAGGGTACATTTCAACGCTTTGCACTCTGTTTTGTGCATCACTTGTGTCCTAGAATATATGTGGTACAGAGGATAAACTGCAAAAGCCCCCGTAACATGCATACTTTTACGTCTATAGTACACACGTGTATATGTTCCCAGGACGTGTATATACGTCATTTTGTTTGTTTGATTGTTGTTTAACGCCGCACTGAGTCTGTTGAAAGATTGACTTTCGTGAGATATATCCTGTATGTAAATGTCAGCATACACCCATGGCCTCCTTCACTTGTGAACAGGGGGCGGTCGGGTAGCCTAATGGTGAAAGTGTTCGCTCGCCACGCCGAAGACCCGGGTTCGATTCCCGACACGGGTACAATGTGTAAAGCCCATATTGCTAAAAGCGGCGTAAAGCCATACTCACATAGCCATATTAATAACAAACCTGCCCCCCCCCCCCCCCCCCCCCCCCCACACACACACACACACACACACACACACAACCGACACGCCGATGTATCGTTGAACAGAAGCGTATTAGATCAACGTACCATATACATGCACAGTATACTTTATTTGTTAGACAAGGCTGCATACGCGCGTCACCTCCGCCAAGCAAGGCGAGCCTACAGTCGCACACATTGATTCAAGCGTTACAACCATTTCAATGAAAGGGATCTTTCCCAGGAAACTGTTCTCTTCTCGGAAATGGCACGGCGCTATTAATAGATCTGCTACATTGTTACACGCGACGTGAAGAGATGCTGTTTTTGTTCCGTGCTGTAAACGGAAGATGATATACACAACATTTTCTAATCGTTTGTCGTTAAATAATACAGGATTTCCCGCCGTGGCGAACTGCCCGATACCGTATCAAGGGTCCGCCCGCCATTGTACTACAGCAAGGCGAGAGAGTGCAGTGATAGCCAGTGTGAAGGATTCGGTGGTGCATCGGTACCAGTTTACGTTTTGCAAACATTAGACATCCCGAAACATGCCTAAAAATCCTTTGTACAACGAATATTAATAAATAGGCTTACCTGTTATTGACTTTATATGGATCTCGTCGTATGCAAATGGCTACCAGTTTAAAACGAAAGTAGAACCAAGGGAGACAACTGATGGTCCGTCATCATTAAATTACCAGCAAATCTTTTTGAACACATCTTAAATCCACATGTGTGTGTGTGTGAAAGTAACAAATATTTAGGCTCAAAGATTTAATAAGATAAATATCCAGACGTATCTTAAACAAATGTCTAGTCTCTACAAAATCCCAGCCTTCCCCCTCCCCAATATCAAGGGCGAGTCAATCATATTTAAAAGGGTGTGGTCCGGTTCCCCACGGACACCCCACCCCACCCCCACGCCCCACCCCCACCCCACGCCCAGCCCCCCACCCCCTTCTGGATCCGCCTATGAATATGAAATGGTCGGTCCCGAAGTACAATATATAATCTCAAATGGGATGTGCAGCGTTAAAACCCACTTCATCTGACCTCAGTTCCCTATGTACATATAAAGTAAACTACGGTTATAACGAACTCAAGGGTACCACTAATTTTAATTCGATATACCCGTAGTTCATGTCAGCAAATGTACAGAAAATAGACAGGACCAAAAAAATAGTTCGTTATATCCGTCAGTTCGTTAGAAGCATGTTCGTTATAACCGTAGTTTACTGTATATGATTATACAATTTGCCTTCCCGGTCACGGGTACAATTACAGGTCCTATAAAGTCCTCCTTATAACCGGCAGCCATGTTGACCACTCAATTCTCACTTGGGACGTATTCTGCAGGCGGGGAGAGTTGCCTTGACGCCATTAACACAGCGGAGCATGGGCTGATCGGGAGGATCAGTACATACATTCAGACGCTCTTATCTGCGTGAATGGCATGTGCGCTTATCAGCACTCACCCAAACATTTATATACACGGTGCCCGACAGTGTTGTCATTCATATGAATCCATTTATTACATTATCAAAATTAATTTGCAGGGAAACATACATCTTTTGTGGTATCACTGATAAGTAGACCAAGTTAAGTCTCCACAGAATCATATTGAAAGCCACCAGTAATATTGATGTATAGAATACATGTACATATTACTCAAAACGAACAGCTTGATCTGGTTCAGTCCTTATCTCTGAGGCAGGGTAATTTAAGATCAGAGCAAACTAAAGAACTCTGTGATATCACAGGGTAAAGAGGTTGGGGCATTTCTATTTGAACAAAGGTCAAGAGGGAGGGGAACAAGGATATTTTTCCTAACATGGTGAGTTTCTTGCATTGCATGTGTGGAAATTACGAGTACAGTCAATCTGAACAATGAATATTAATAATATTGCTGTAGTATTTTATGTTTGTCATTGAAATCGTGTACGAATCACCAAAGACTCAGTTCTCGTGTTTAGCTATGAGCAGGACTGTTCAATGGTCATAGAAAGGTCGAGTTTTATGTCCCTGATTGCGAATAAGAGTAATGCGTAATTTCAGATTTTTTGTAAATTGCCTGCTCTTAGGTAATTACTTTAATACTGGTATCTAATTTCACTGGGTAATCAGATATGGATGATTATGGTTTTTTTTGCTCAGATGTAGAGTATTTTGTTTTTCAGATTGTTAATAAAGTGTGTCTATCACACACATTCAAACATTGTCAAACAGAATATTCTCTTTTTTAATTGTTGATTAACACAGAGCATAGTCCTTTTGGTGTTATTGATAGTATTAAAGCAAAGAAAGTATTCGACATATTTCTATATCGACGTCACATATGTTGAAGCATCTAACAACTTTCAAGAGCCATATCTATATACAAGCGTTAATATGTCGATGAGATTATTGCGTGGTGCTTATGTTATCAGGGTGAGTGAGTGAGTGAGTGAGTGAGTGAGTGAGTGAGTGAGTGAGTGAGTTGGGTTTTACACTGCCGCCCACAAAACTTGGACGTTTGGGTATTTTCCTTAAAACAAACTATTCATTGTTTTCACTACAGCTTACAAACCGTCATCTTGCGCATCTTTCTGAACAAAGGATTCACCCCCCACCCCCCACCCCACCCACCCACCCTTTTTCTAGAAATCATATGGATGCTTCCTCATTGTTGGTGGTTGTCATTTTTGCATGTATATCATACACGACTGACTAAGTTCACTGTAAACGTTTTGACACCTATACCTATATATACTACTCATCTGAATCAAGCAATCGACGATACACACAGAGACACAAACACATGAAGAAACATGCAAACATCCTCACTACATAAAAACACGCACACGTCTCTCTCTCTCTCTCTCTCTCTCTCTCTCTCACGCACACACGCAGGCACAGCCACACATCATACCCACAAACACGCAACACATAAATACGCACACGCACACGCACACACACACACACACACACACACACACGTCTCTCTCTCTCTCTCTCTCTCTCTCACGCACACACGCAGGCACAGCCACACATCATACCCACAAACACGCAACACATAAATACGCACACGCACACTCTACACGCACAAACACATAACACACACACACACACACACACACACACACACACACACACACACACACACACACACACACACACACACTCACAGAGAATAACAGAGAAACATGAAAAGTGCGGATTCATATTGTTTAAGTACAAGGAAGACAGGTGGTTCAGATATAAAATGTACCGCAATTAGCTGTGCAGGATCCGCTGATCCGCGGGTTAAATTAACCCTGATTATGACCCTTGGTCTTACCGCACCATACCCGTTCTATATAATTTCACGAAAGTGGCAAGCCTCTAAAACCTGCAACACGCAGGGCTTTCCTCCCACATACAAGTGACACACCATGATATAACTGGAACACTGTTCAAAGCAGGGTGAAAACCCGATACACATACTCCTGTCCACTGTACGTTGTGACTAAGGGCTATAATAAACATTGACCCGCCTATCTGCATGTGAGAGTCGCCTATCTGGAAATGCCGTCATTGATAATAGCGTCCCATGATAAATGCCATCCACAAACAGTAATATCATTTTACCAATTTGATATGTCACGTCGACTAATAGCGCTTAGGTTGAACAACTGTTTGTTGTAGAAGAGGTCACAATTCCTATATTCTGAGTCAAGCAATGAAGACATGATGGCCCTTGTACTTTAGTTATCCATGTTTCTTTTTGTTTACATCAGCATTGAAAACAATTATCAATTAATATTGGAAAAGGTCAACTGTTAAGCCATGTCATATTTATGTTCGTTCTATTGACTACATTGTACCATTGCCGCAGGTCACGCTCGATGCACACCTGCACAAGGACAACATCAGGACAATGCCGTGCGGCCAGTGACGTCATTATGTTCTTCTCCAGCGTTAAGCGTGCTTCTTCTGGAGCGTTCCTAGTGCTCTGTGTCTTCGGTTTTGTGACGTCACCAACCTGCCCCAGCAACTGCGTCTGTGCAGTTTCTGGTCATGTGACATGTCAGCCAAAGATGACGTCATTTCCGCTAGGTCTGCCATCAAGTACCATTGGTATAAACCTGCAAGGCACCTTCGGTAACAAGAACTCTATAGCAACATTGACACACTCAGATTTGTCAGTGTTCTCGAAAATTGAGAATTTCTACGTTTCGTATAGTGAGGTGTCAAAGTTAGATGATGATCTGTTTCAAGGACTGACCGAAATAAAACGCATTGCACTGAAACATAATAAAATCTCCCAGATAAACTCTAAGATCTTCCATGGATTAAATGGTGTTTTTCTGGTGGATCTGACTGGAAACACGGGATGTAAGATCGCCGATAACGCTTTTGCTTCTTTGAACAACCTGCAAGATCTTATTCTGGGCGACCTTAGCATTGGGCGTGCGTCCGCTGCTATGTTCAATGGGTTAACACGTCTCAGACAGCTTGATCTCCACGGAAATAATCTTGAAAAGGTGTCTGTGCAAACATTTCAACAATTGTCAAGCCTTAAGATATTAGACCTGTCCGGCAATAGATTAGCAACTATTCCAGATTCATTCGAGGCAGTCTTTCAGAAACTGAAAATCATCCAGCTTTTAGACAACCCCTGGAGATGCACGTGTGACATTCAATGGCTGAAGCACCTCAACCAGAGTATTATGTATTCGGTGTATTCTGGCAGTGTTCCTGCTTGTGCTTCCCCAACTCTACTGAAATACCACACAATTTACCATACTGCAGATAAGGACTTCACTTGTATTCCACCCAAAATCCTTCAGTGTGGCGATCCCTATACCGTGAAACAGGGGGATATGCTACACATTACCTGTCAAATTGAAGGTGATCTATTCCCAAATGTGACCTGGGTGAAACCCGACGGGACCATGATCTCAGCTCCGAGTGTTTCCATCTCCGACCCCCGGTACAAGACAAGAAGGGATGTCAACACTGATCTGACTGCTCTCGCTACTGATGATGGAGTATGGACAGTTCAAGCTGCTAACGATAAAGCAAAGGACGAGAGAACATTCCGCGTTCATGTTCAAATTCCATCAACCACGTCTACGACTACAACTACAACGTCTCCAGTGGAGTCTGCTGACGGTCTAGACGCTGGGTTCCTGGTGGCGGTTGGCGGGTTCGGTGGTACGGTGCTCCTGGGTTTGATTATATTCGCCAGCGTGTTGTGCTGCAGTCAGGCTAAGAAGGGTCAGGTTGCCCCAGAGGAATCCACTGAATGGGGGCAGAGGGAACACTTTGACAAAATTACATTTGTTGTTGCACCATTGACTAAATGATGTGATACTGTGACTGAGGATAGGTGGCATCTCCAGTAAGACTGGTAATTCTGCAAGACTAAACCTGGATCATTACCGTGAAACAAGAAGACAATGGTGGCCCGGTGGTTTAAATCAGAGGTAGTCCCATGGTCGTACCAGGATCACTTGTCATGGGTTCAAATCTCAGATTCCCCTCTGTCAATGATGGTTGGTTTTTCAGCACCACGGTTTCAACTGAAGTGGTATTCGTCTACATTCCATATTAAGCTGACATGCTGCGTTACAATTGAAATAGTGTTAAAAGCGGCGTAAACACAACCAACACAGCCAATGGGCTCGAGCCGTAATGTATGATTTGTTAACACAGGACATGGTTGTATGAAATTAACGATTCAATATTTTCAAATTTTTGTTTAATCCTTTAAGGCTGAGAAAATAGCATGCATAATGTTTTAACTATAAAGGATGATCATGCTGAAATAATTAGAAAACCCCTTGAAAGAGAAAAACTAAATAAAACACAAAAAAACATACATATCCTTGTTATATATTCTCCATATCACAACGTGCAACCTATTGATAACATACTCAAAACTGAAAAGAGTGTTGTACCATATATTGTAAAGATCAAGGGGGGCACGGGTGGCCCAGTCGCCTAAGGCGCCGCGATTCGCTGTGCAGAGTTGCGTCCCTTGGGCACGCCAGAAACCTATGATTGTGGGTTCGAATCCCGGTTCGCCCCTATTATGTTTCTAGGTTTGTCAGCACCATACCAGTGCTCGTGGGTTTCACCGAAGTGGTAAACGTCTGAGACCTGCATCACTTCGAGTTTTCCTCCCACATTTAGCTGACACGCCGTGATATGAGTGGAATACTGTTAAAAGCGGCGAAAAACCAAACTCACTCACTCACTGTAAAGATCAACTCTCGACGGAGTCCTGGCTCTGAGCCCTGCCTCACAGAGGCACGCAGTCAGATTTGCTGTTGTATAGTCCGTCAACCTGTTTTGGGACACACGTAGTCATATTTACACTCATCAAAATGTTTGCTTGTACCTTAATAGAAACCAATTGTTCAAAAGAAGATTGTCTCCAGAGAGCACGTGTCAACCCAAATATAATCAGCCAAGCTTCGGATGATGACAACGAAACTGATACTGATATTGAGGAAGAGTTGTCTGAAGATGACTCAGATATACATGTAGTCTGAAGAGGAATACTAAATAAGAAACATATATAGCCTTGTTCGGGGCTCTATATTTCCTATACTTTCCGTGAGCATGTTCTCAAACTCAAAACTGAAAAGCGTCTTGTACCATGTATTGTAAAGATCCACTCTCGACGAATATTGCGGACGTGCACCGGCTCGGATCCCTGCCTCACAAAGGCGGTTCATCACTGTCGGATTTTATGGTCTGCACAGAGCACATGTTGTAATTAGTCTGGCTTCGTATGACGACACCGAACATACGGATATTGATGAAGAGTTGCTGAAGAAGGGAAGTGTTTCTTTAATTTTGAGACGCTCCCTTAAGTTTTTGACCTCAGTTCAAGCACGAGAATCACTTGCTTACATGACAGTTATCATTACCCGTGAGCTTCATTGCCTGTGTTTCTATTTTGTTATATTCACTGTACATTTGGCTTCATCACATTATCTATATGCAACTTGTTATCTATAACCTGTTGTTGTAAATACTTATCTGCTGCTTATCACAACACGTCATGGCTATATACCTCTCATCACATGGTGATCTACATCGAAACATCGCTATATGCAATCACCAGAAGTTGTTATCCATAAAGTTTTCTTATTTTTCTTTTCTTTTCTTATTTTCATATTGGAAGCTTTTTTCACAAGTGTTCAAAAAAGTTTAAACATTAGTTTCTATTTGGCACAGGCAAATAGTTCAATGTGTGTAAATATGATTTTAATTTACATGAATTTGAATTAATTTGAAGATAATTGAGAAAAAAATGTGTCCCGAAAATTAGGTTGACGAATCAAGTTCTCAAAATTCAAAGGAAAATGTCAAGCTTCTCATGTACAGTAAAGAACAGTAAATCTGTCTTTATATTACTGTGGTTTGCCCAAAGCTTATTATTTCGTTACTCTAATATAACACACGTGTATTTCAATACATTACTGTGTTGAATCAACATTTTGTGTCAGAAATTCGTTTCCCTTTCGTGTGAGCATAAAAGGAAAACAGACATGATGTTCTGTAAAGGCTGATATTTCTACATGGTGAAATATATATAGATTTCCATGTTGAACATTCACTCGATATACAAACAAAGTCCAATGATTTGATTGCGTTATCAGATATTCATCGTATGCCGGTGACACACAGCGACAAAACAAAACGTTTGCATTTCTACGTCGTATATGACGGCTATTCTATAAATAGAAATAAACGTCTTTGACCCCAACAGTCGGTGGTAAACTTGGGCAGGACATGCTCCGTCATTTCTCGAACATCTGTTTTGTCCACTGTATGTTAACAATGATTCGTGTCTTTATACATTTAGATGGGGTGAGGTGAAATGGGGTTTAACGTCGCGTCCAAGATTACTGCACTTATATAGCGACGTGCATGTACGTGTGTGTGGCTGCTTTTTCTAGACCGGACTGATGCCGATTTATAGTGCTAGCACACTGAGATACCATGCTGCAGTTTAACATTCATACCCCACTCAGACACAGTATACTGACTCCGAGCCGACCAGTCCTTGTTTTAGCCCTTTAATGCCGAGCACCAGACAGGGTAACAACAAGTACCATCTTTTAACGTCTTTTGGTATGACGCGGCCGGGGATCGAACCCCGGACCTTCCGCTCTCCGGCGGACGCTCTACCACTAGACCACGGAGGCGGTCTACATTTAGATGACATGGGGTCCCTAAGGTATCCAGGTTCTCCCTGAACATGATCCTAGATTTGTTAAGGGACCATACCCAAAGTGGTAAATGTCTTCCACCCATGTTCAAATGACAATATTCAATATTTTACAAAGCCTGCTCTATCATCAGGGTATATTGCAGAGTCCTGTTGCTTTCATTTAAGCATTTACCTTAAAAAGTGACTCAAAAGTATTCAGTTATAAACTTTATTCAACAGCTGTCAGTACCAAACACATCATAAAAAACTTGAAGATATATTTAACAATGTAATAAAACAACAATAACGCCTGCTTATGAAATGCAAGAATACATTAATACTGGACATATGCGTTTGTATAGGAACACCTTTCCCTGAGATATGGTTGTATCAAAGTCTGACATAACAGAAAATATGAAATAGTCAGCATAACAATAAACATTGAATGGAAGACAGTTGTCACATTGCCATGAAAGACCCGTACGTGACATATCATAAAAGTGAGGACCTTGACGACAGTTACTATCGCCTGCTGTGAACGTGGAACATGCACGATGTCATGAGTGTCATGAGTGTCTTGTGTTCAAGTTTCTTATTGATGGTATTTGGACAAGTGGGATTAATGTATGTTGTCATTTTGACCTTGGCTCAATTTAGAAAGACATAATTTGATGGAAATGGCATGTACATATCTGAGATGAATATTGTCCGTTAAATTTAAAATGTGACACCTATATTTATAAATGGCCACGTTGCTGATGATGTAAAATGTTGCCAAGAACACTGGCGAATTCCACATTAAACAAAAAACTACAAAGTAAGGATCAATTTATGGTTGCGAACCCGCGTTTAGTGTGAACTCAAATGTCCAATGGAACAAGTAACGCCACTTTAGAAACATGCGTTGTAATGTTACTTCATAGATATCCCAACATTCCAGTAAGATATGTAGTGATACAATGGGGAAGAATGTACAAACAGTATGACAGCGGACGTAGAATACAACATCACGTTTTTATCGTGTTATGAGGAAAAACAATTTCAACACCACCCTAAAAGTCCTGTCGCTTTCATTTAAGTATTAACTTTAATAAGTGACTCAAAAGTATTCAGTTATGCACTTTATTCAACAGCTGTCAGTACCAAACACATCATAAAAAACTTGAAGATATATTTAATAATTGTAATAAAACAACAATAACGCCTGCTTATGAAATGCAAGAATACATTAATACTGGACATATGTGTTTGTATAGGAACACCTTTCCCTGAGATATGGTTGTATCAAAGTCTGACATAACAGAAAACATGAAATAGTCAGCATAACAATAAACATTGAATGGAAGACAGTTGTCACATTGCCATGAAAGACCCGTACGTGACATATCATAAAAGTGAGGACCTTGACGACAGTTACTATCGCCTGCTGTGAACGTGGAACATGCACGATGTCATGAGTGTCATGAGTGTCTTGTGTTCAAGTTTCTTATTGATGGTATTTGGACAAGTGGGATCAATGTATTTTGTCATATTGGCCTTGGCTCAATTTAGAAAGACATAATTTGATGGAAATGGCAAATACATTTCTGAGGTGAATATTGTCTGTTAAAACTAATATGTGACACCTACATAAATAAATGACCATCTTTCTATTGTAAAATGTTTCAAAGAACATCAGCATATTCAACATTAGACAAAATTTACAAAGAAAGTGTTGTTAATTCACTTTTTGTGTGAACTCCAATGCCCAATGGAGCAAGGAACGCCGCTTGATAGATACCCCAACATCCCAGTAAGATATGTAGTGATACAATGGGGAAGAATGTACAAACAGTATGACAGCGGACGTAGTATACAACACTACGTTTTATCGTGTTATGGAGAAAAACAATTTCAACACCACGCTAAATATCCACCAAACTGTTTCAACTGTATCCCCAGGGAGGTCTGACGTTACAGCCACACTGACTATATACAAGTTCGTATGAGAGCAGTACACTGCGATATCTTAAATGGAAATGCTTGGAAAATATTATAAATGCAATATGGCCAAATAAGGTAATAATGAAAATACATTGTGAAAGTGTGACTGATTTACACTGTGATCTGTCAATGTGTATATTATGAACTTTAATCAAAGCCAAATGTAATAGCTAAAATGTGCAAAGAAGGCTGATTTCTTAGATCTGAGGGAGCATTTAGCTAATATTTTAGAAAGTCCTTGCCCCAAGGTGATGTACAGAAGAGAGTAGGTAAAGACGTGGTGGATTCCTTTCCAGGTTGGAAAACTTGGCATTTGGTTATCAGTTCAGCCATACGTTAGTCCTTCATTATATCTTTAGTCCAAGTGTAAAAAGGTAATGAGACCAACTGCCGCTCATATGAACTTATCTAATAAATCTCACCCCTTACGGGGCTGCTTGAATAATAAGTTATGAAAACATACATATTCTTATCAACGTAATGCTGCTTACTGAGGCTTGCAACTAACTATTATATCATGAATAAGACAAGTAGTATGATAAATATAAACTACTATTTGACAATAAGGCATATGATAATGAATGTACAATTTTAGCTAATGTTGTTGGTATACATGTAAATAACAATACCATATTCAGTTAAAGCCTACAATAGAAGGTTGGACAATAAGAATTATTATTGGATGTGTGATACCAGCTGCATAGTGAGTTGTATAATAACATACATACAGATTTAGGGTAGCCGATAGGGCTCACAGTAATATGTTGTATCAGAATGTTACCCGATACTGTTTACAATGGTAAGTTGAATAATGCTTTCCAATGCTTGCCAACATATATATTCACCAAGATTTCTAACAATATATATCTGTATATTTTGTAAACATGATATGCGAAGGTTAGCCGATACGGCTTACAGTTATATGTTACATAATAACATAGCTTTTTGGATGCCAGTATGGCTCACAAGGGTACATGTATATTATGAATATCGATCAATAGCAGTCTAGATTGGCGAAAAATCTAAACCTTGTATATTGAATATTCACTTTGTTGCTAATACAAGCCAATATGGCTTACGTTCTATTCCTAACTGGAATAGGCATCTGTTCGAAACTGCCTGAGAAAATAATTACGAACTAATTAATTCATCGAAGAATGTTACGCATACTATCCCCGGTGAACAGCTCAGACAAAAGCAGCCTTGATGCCAATGGGATGAAGAAGCTTGTACTTCCTGTGATGGGACCTCCCTCTTCTGGGAGGTGTCCAATGTCTGGTGCCGTTCTGGACATCGCAACCCCTTGGATGTGTCCGTTGAGTGGCACCATTCTGGATGGTCAGGACATCGCAACCCCTTGGATGTGTCCGTTGAGTGGCACCATTCTGGATGGTCAGGACATCGCAACCCCTTGGATGTGTCCGTTGAGTGGCACCATTCTGGATGGTCAGGACATCACAACCCCTTGGCGTCAATGTTGTATGACGGCCCGCAGCTGATAAAGGAAATAAAGCAAATAACAAACACATTATAAACACAGGATATGATTCATATGGTTAAACATATGAACATTCTGTGAGAACTGAGTGCTTATGATTGGCGGGATAAACGAACATAATCCTATACACATCCATGTCTAGCTTTCCGATTATGTTTCTAGGTTTGTAAGTACCATACAATTGCTCCGGAGTATCACCTATGGTATACGTCTGAGACCTGTATAACTTGTGGCTTTCCGCTTACAGTATGCTGAGACACTGCCATCAATGCATTCCAAAACAGACAATTCCCTTCTTTCAGTGCATACCAAAACCATGACTATTTAATTCTATCAATGCATACCAAAACCAAGACAATTTGCTCATAGCGTTTAAAAGGCGAGATGGTGTGTAAACACTAATAACCAGCGTCGTGTGTGTAAAAGTTATAATCCAATGATTAATATAATGAGCATCGATCCACGCAATTAGAATCGATGACATGCATCAACCAAGTCAGCGAGCCTGACCAACCGATCCCGTTAGTCGCCTCTTACGACAAGCATAGTCGCCTTTTACGGCAAGCATGGGTTGCTGAAGACCTATTCTACCCCAGATCTTCACGGGTCTGATGTGCCTGTGAGTTATGTTTGTTTCTAGGTCAGTGAGATCGGTCAATATGATGGTGTAGTTTCAAGGGAATATGTAAAAATATTCTTTGATATGTTATGTGGTCGTGGCAACGCCGTGTGTCGGGGAGAATGTGGTACAGACACTTATTCAAGCATTCCTACGAGCAATGTATCGGCTGTGAGATGGAACTGGTGGCGTAAAACCAGATATAGGCATGGCTTGGTCCTTATCGATGTAGACTGTTCGAACTATATACTGTCCTGACAGATATGCACGTAACACATATAATGAAGGCAAAGAAACAAAATGGCGCCTACCTGTCCTGGCTGCCTCCAGTGCAGGTTGAAACATCAGCTGCAGACTAGCGAAAACAACGCAATAGCCTGTCACAGCTCTTTTATACTGCTCCGTTACCCATAACAACAAGCTCGTCGACCAATGAGCTGTGTGCATATCTGAACAGGGATCCATGTCCTGGTTTACCAGCACAATGACAACACAGTCACGCCAGGCTGCATAGGTGTAACTGTCTTGTCCTGTTTATGTGTTAGAGAGGGGCGGTCGGGTTGCCTAGTGGTTAAAGCGTTCACTCGTCACACCGAAGATTCCCGACATGTTTACAATGTGTGAAGCCCATTTCTGGTGTCGCCCGTCGTCATATTGCTCGAATGTTGATGAAAGCGGCATAAAACCATACTCACTCACTCACTCACTCACGCACTCACTTCGTATGCTAGAGAGCAAACACATTCATATTCTGGATAAAATATGATGCACGAGGCTAGTGACGAGACACTGATCCTGATGCAACAATGCACAACATAAGCTGACCACTCGAAAATGACCAACGGTCCTAATAATAGGATGGAAGACTATTTGACTGACATGTCAGGATATGTCTGAAATAGTGTTGGTGGCATCAGATCATAAGTGACTCCTTCACTGTGATGTGTTATCCATGACAACTTCTGTAACTCAGCAATCGCTGCACAGACAGGTCCTTGAAATGGATAACTAATACAGAATTCGTTACGCCTGACTCCCGTCATACTTTGATGTGATTTCTAAATAATATCCCACGTGTTTATGAATAGGAAACTCAAGAAGAGACACAATAAACACAAAGCGTCATCTCTTAAGCTGTTTTATTGTGACAAGTGAATGTACCATCAGTTGCCATCATGTGGGCACAATCATACCAATACACGCAGGCCATCTACAAAATTCCTCTTTGAGGATACTGAAACACTTCCATTGATAAATTATGTGAATAATCACCATCTACTTAGCAAGAGAAACACAATGTAATGCACACGCATTGGTTTAACCGATACGGTTTACAGTTGTATTCCATACAGGAATAGTTCTACCCTACCCTCCCGACCCACAAGAGCCCACCATCCTCAGACCTCCCTCTCCCTCCCGACCAACAAGAGCCCACCATCCTCAGACCTCCCACTCCCTCCCGCTCCAAATCTACCATATCCCACCCGCTCTCCTCCCATCAACCAAGTAAGCGAGACTGGCCACCATCCTCAGACCTCCCACTCCCTCCCGACCCACAAGAGCCCGCCATCCTCACTGCCTCCCATCTCCCATCCGCTCTGCTCCCACCCCGCTCTCTTCCCACCCGCTTCCCTCCCACCCGCTCTCCTCCCACCCGTTCTCCCCCACCCCGCTCTCCTCCCACCCGTTCTCCTCCCACCCGTTCTCCCCCACCCCGCTCTCCTCCGACCCGCTCTCCTCCCACCCGTTCCCCTCCCACCCGTTCTCCCCCCATCCCGCTCTCTTCCCACCCGCTTCCCTCCCACCCGCTCTCCTCCTACCCGTTCCCCTCCCACCCGTTCTCCCCCCATCCCGCTCTCCTCCCACCCGCTCTCCTCCCACCCGTTCCCCTCCCACCCGTTCTCCCCCTATCCCGCTCTCCTCCCGACCGCTCTCCTCCCACCCGTTCCCCTCCCACCCGTTCTCCCCCTATCCCGCTCTCCTCCCGACCGCTCTCCTCCCACCCTGCTCTTCTCCCACCCCGTTCTCCCCCCACCCGTTCTCCCCCAACCCGCTCTCCTCCCACCCCGCTCTCCTCCCACCCGTTGTCCTCCCACCCTTTCCTCTTAAGTTATGCAATAATATGCACACACATTCATTACGTCGAAAATGATATGTTTTGCTGGTTTTTTTAATCAAAGAAATCTCTGCAGGCTACACATCAATCGCTCATATGAAAGCATGATTAAGTGATTGAGTGTTGTTTTACATATTATACATACAGATTTGTGTATGTCTCACAAACATTTGCGTACTACAAAAATACATTCATCCAGCATGACTTACAAGGGTACGTTGTGTATAATAAATATACACTGAGAAGCAAAAGAAATTATACCGAGTTTATGTAATTGAAAATTGAAAGAAATTTTAAATTTGATTACATCTATTTAACAATTGCTGCAACAGTTTGTAAAAAGTAATCTGTGGCTAGATAACTTTGTGACAAAATAAATAAATTTAATGAAGACTGGAGTAAGATGGTTGTTGTTGGTTGTTTGTTGTTTAACGCCGCACTCAGCAATATTCCAGCTATATGACGGCGGTCTGTATATAATAGAGTCTGGATCAGACAATCCAGTGATTGACATCATGAGCGTCGATCCACGCAATTGAGATACAATGACATGCATCAACCAAGTCAGCGAACCTGACCACCCGATCCCGTTAGTCGCCCCTTACGACAAGCATAGTCACCTTTTACGACAAGCATGGGTTGCTGAAGACCTGGAGTAAGAATTGAATTTGCAATCACATCACCCCAACCATGTTTGAAATGTAAATGTTTGCCGAAAATAGCAAATTTATGGTTTTTAAAAATAAGATGTCTAACATACCAATTATGTGAATTTTCCCTTTTTTAAGTTTTATAAGTTTTATATAAAACAATATTTTCACAGTTCATTACTGTTCATTTTTGGATATAATATGGCTGACAGGATATTTTCAATTGCGAATTAACCTCATAATCAATTCAGCTGAGAGGTAAAGTTTCTTTTGCTTATCAGTTTACATGTTTATAGTATACAAGCTAACAGTTGAGTTAAACGTCGCGTCCAAGATTATTGCACTTACATAGCAGCATGCATGCACATGTGTGTGTGTGTGTGTGTGTGTGTGTGTGTGTGTGTGTGTGTGTGTGTGTGTGTGTTTGTGTGTGTGTGTGTGTGTGTGTGTGTGTGTTTGTGTGGCTGCTTGTACTAGTCCGGACTGATGCCGATTTATAGTGCTAGCACACGGAGATACCATGCCGCATGCCATGAATACCCCACTCAGACACAGTATACAGACTCCGAGCCGACCAGTCCTTGTTTTAGTCCCTTAATGCCGAGCGCCAGACAGGGTAACAACAAGTACCATCTCATTACGTCTTTTGGTATGACGCGGCTTGGGATCGAACCCCGGACCTTCCGCTCTTCGGGCGGACTCTCTACCACTAGACTACGGAGGCGGCCTACAAGCTTACAGACAAGCTAACAGAATAAGATATAATAATATATATAATAACATTGCAAGATATGAGTGGTCAAAGTACAGATGCCATATATATGAGCCAATATGGCTTACAAGGGTACATGGTCTATACTAAATATACATGTACATAAAATACAAGCTGACAGTATAATATATATAATAACATTGCAAGTTAAAAAGGATCAATATACAGAATTCATAGATATAAGCCAATATGGCTTACGAGGGTACATGGTATATTCTAAATATAACGTGTATATTTTACAAGCTGACAGTATGATGAATATATATATATTTATTAACTAACATTGCAATTGCATGTTATGGATGGTCAATATACAGATGCCATAGATATAAGCCAATATGGCCTACAGGGTATTCCTAACTGGAATGAATGTGTTTTTTTTTTCTAAATTGCCTGAGAATATTTTCACGCGACATTCACAAATATGGCCCCCTCCTTAACCTCATGAAACACACGTGTTGAGACAGCATAAGGAAGAGATACAACCCTCCTAGTCGCGGTGAAGGATCTTCTCAGGCACGAAGGGTACGTAGCCACTCATTTGAACTGAGATGGGCTGGAGTGAAGGAGTGAAGGTCCTGTAGCAAGGTTTCCCTCTTCCCCTTGGATGAGTCTGGTGAGTGCCACCATGCCTGATGGTCAGGACATCGCAATCCTGGGAGGTCAAGGTCGTATGACGGCCCGCAGCTGACAGAAGGAAAGACATGTATACACAATTTGTTTGTAACAAATATTGATAATGAGTGAGTATGGTTTTACGCCGCTTTTAGCAATATTCCAGCAATATCACGGCGGGGGACACCACAAATGGGCTTCACACATTGTACCCATGTCGGGAATCGAACCCGGGTCTTCGGCGTGACGAGCGAACGCTTTAACCACTAGGCTACCCGACCGCCCCAAATATTAATAAATATTACTACATAGGAGGGCATTGTGTTTACTATCAGTTAAAGCTGGCTATACATTTTATATTCTTCTTTTAAAGAGAGTGAGTAGGAGAGTAGGCAGAAGCTATTTGACAGTGATTTTTTAGTATCTTCAGCAAATCATTGGTTGATCACCTGAACATCAATCGCCAGCTATGGGTCCCCATCACATAGAATTAATCAGTTCACGTGAGTACTATTTATATTCTACTTCTAATTTGGACACCCAATCCTCATTTGTAAGGCGTCACCTTCTACCAAAGCAGGTTCTTTAATTGAGTGAGTGCTTAACACCGCTTTGAACAGTGCTTTAGTTAAATCTGGGCGTTTCAGCTTCACGTGGGAGGAATACAGTAACTACAGAAGGTCGTAAACGCTGACGACGTCGGTGAAACCCACAGCACGGAAACGGTATTAACAAAGTCAACTGGAGATTGGATCCAGAATTTCAGATGACTAAGTTGCCTCAACCTTTGTCCTTACCTGTCTTACTGGAGCCGGAAGCAGCTGGCAGCAGGACAGATCTGGTCACGTGACAGCACGGTCGCCGGAAGTTGGCAAATCTCCGACGTTCAAAGATCCGTGGCGACTTGAGGTGACATTGAGTAACGATCTGGTTGTCGGGTCCTTTCTGTTCGCAGACAAACACTCGGGGCCTGCCGTTACATTCAGGGGGGACGTACACGACGACCGTGTCTCCTACCAATATGTTTAGGGGGAGTTTGTCACCCAACAAAACGCATACAACATTCTCGTTCCCGAGCTGCACAATCGATTCATTGTTGTCTAACTGTGCGTACGGTGTGTCACCCAATATTCTATTTAAATCGTTTGTAGCTGACTTGCGAAAGAAAGCAATGATATTTCTCTGGTGCCCAATTTGTACAATACGCTTGATTTCTATGGTATTCAGGTTATTCATTTTCCGATATTTACATTTCAATTCTCTTTTCTTTTCAATGTCTGAATGTGTGACGTCACGCGTCCCCCCTTCAGTCCTACATGACCCCGAGTGTGAACCCGTTCCTGATGTGACTGTTACTGTTTTGCCTTTTTTACAGAATCTGCACGGGGAGAGATAAAACGTGGTTAGTATTGCATACTAGTCTTTGTAAAGGTGTCAATTCACTGCTATCAATGCATTCCAAAACAGACAATTCACTTCTTTCAATGCATACCAAAACCATGACTATTCACTTCTATCAATGCATACAAAATCCATGACTATTCACTTCTATCAATGCATATCAAAACCAAGACAATTTGCTCTTAACGTTTAAAAGGCGAGATGGTGTGTAAACACTAATAACCAACGTCGTGTGTGTAAAAGTTATAATCCAATGATTAATATAATGAGCAATTAGAATCGATGACATGCATCAACCAAGTCAGCGAGCCTGACCAACCGATCCCGTTAGTCGCCTCTTACGACAAGCAAAGTCGCCTTTTACGGCAAGCATGGGTTGCTGAAGACCTATTCTACCCAAGATCTTCACGGGTCTGATGTGCCTGTGAGTTATTTTTATTTCTAAGTCAGTGAGATCGGTCAATATGATGGTGTAGTTTCAAGGGAATATGTAAAAATATTCTTTGATATGTTATGTGGTCGTGGCAACGCCGTGTGTCGGGGAGAATGTGGTACAGACACTTATTCAAGCATTCCTACGAGCAATGTATCGGCTGTGAGATGGAACTGGTGAGACACCAGATATAGCCATGGCTTGGTCCTTATCGATGTAGACTGCTCATACTATATACTGTCCTGACAGATATGCACGTAACACATATAATGAAGGCAAAGAAACAAAATGGCGCCTACCTGTCCTGGCTGCCTCCAGCGCAGGTTGAAACATCAGCTGCAGACTAGCGAAAACAACGCAATAGCCTGTCACAGCTCTTTTATACTGCTCCGTTACCCATAACAACAAGCTCGTCGACCAATGAGCTGTGTGCATATCTGAACAGGGATCCATGTCCTGGTTTCCCAGCACAATGACAATACAGTCACGCCAGGCTGCATAGGTGTAACTGTCATGTCCTGTTTATGTGTTAGAGAGGGGCGGTTGGGTAGCCTGGTGGTTAAAGCGTTCACTCGTCACACCGAAGATTCCCGACATGTTTACAATGTGTGAAGCCAATTTCTGGTGTCCCCCGTCGTGATATTGCTCGAATGATGATGAAAGCGGCATAAAACCATACTCACTCACTCACTCACTCACTCACGCACTCACTTCGTTTGCTAGAGAACAAACACATTCATATTCTGGAGAAAATATGATGATGCACGAGGCTAGTGACGAGACACTGATCCTGATGCAACAATGCACAACATAAGCTGACCACTCGAAAATGACGAACAGCCCTAATAATAGGATGGAAACTATTTGACTGACATGTCATGCTAGATCTGAAATAGTGTTGGTGGCATCAGATCATAAGTGACTCCTTCACTTTGACGTGTTATCCATGACAACTTCTGTAACTCACGAATCGCTGCACAGACAGGTCCTTGAAATGGATAACAAATACAGAATTCGTTACGCCTGACTTCCGTCATACTCTGATGTGATTTCTAAATAATACACCACGTGTTTATGAATAGGAAACTCAAGCAGTGACACAATCAACACAAAGCGTCATCTCTTAAGCTGTTTTATTGTGACAAGTGAATGTACAGACACAGGAGAGAATAGAAAACAAAGTTGCCATCCTATGGACACAATCATACCAAAACATGCAGAGCCATCTACAGGATTCCTCTTTGAGGATACTGAAACACTTCCATTGATAAATAATGTGAATAATCACCATCTACTTAGCAACAGAAATACAATGTAATGCACACGCATTGGTTTAACCGATACGGTTTACAGTTGTATTCCATACAGGAATAGTTCTACCCACCCCTCCCGACCCACAAGAGCCCACCATCCTCAGACCACCCATCTCCCACCCGCTCCCACTCGAACACCAGCCCATATCCCACCCGCTTCCCTCCCACCCGTTCCTCTTAAGATATGCAATAATATACACACACACTCATAACGTCGCACATGAAATAAGCTTTGCTGGTTTTCTAATCAAAGAAATCTCTGCAGGCTACACATCAATCGCTCATATGAAAGCATGATTAAGTGGCTTCAGTTACGCCGCTTTTAGCACAAATGAGCTGTATGTAATATCAATCGATGCGGCGTACAGTGGTCGGTGTACATATTATACATTCAGAATTGGGTATGTCTCACAAACATTTGCGTATTCAAAAACATATTTGCAGCCAGCATGGCTTACAAGGGTACATGGTGTATAAAAATATATACTGAGGGACAAAGGAAATTATGCCGAGTTTAAGATATTGGAAATTGAAAGAACTGTTAAATTTGATTATGTCTATTCAACTTTTACTGCAACAGTTTGTAAAAAGTTATCTGTGGCTAGATAAACTTGTGACAAAATATATTAATTTAATTAAGACTGGAGTAAGATGGTTGTTGTTTGTTGTTTAACGCCGCACTCAGCAATTTTCCAGCTATATGAACGCGGGTCTGTAAATAATCGAGTCTGGACCAGACAATCCAGTGATTGACATCATGAGCATCGACGTGCATGCATCAACCAAGTCAGCGAGCCTGACCACCCGATCCCGTCAGTCGCCTCTCACGACAAGCATGGGTTGCTGAAGACCTGGAGTAAGAAATTAATTTGCAATAACATCACCCCAACCATGTTTGAAATGTAAATGTTTGCCGAAAATAGCAAATTTATTGTATTTTAAAGATAAGATGTCTAACGTACCAATTATGTGAATTTTCACTTTTTAAGTTTTATAAGTTTTATATGAAATCATATTTTCACAGTTCACTATCGCTAACTTAGCATATTTTCAATTAAAAATAAACCTCATAATCAAATCAACGGAGAGGTGTAGTTTCTTTTGCTCATCAGTTTACATGTTTATATTATACAAGATAACATAATAATATATATAATAACATTGCAAGATATGAGTGGTCAATGTACAGATGTCATATATATGAGCCAATATGGCTTACAAGGGTACATGGTCTATACTAAATATACATGTACATATAATACAAACTGACAGTATAATATATAAAACAACATTGCAAATTAAAAAGGATCAATGTACAGAATTCATAGATATACGTCTGATGGTATATAGATATAAGCCAATATGGCCTACAGGATATTCCTTACTGGAATGAATACAATCTTTCGAAACTGCCTGAGAATGTTTTCACGCGACATCCACAAAGATGTCCCCTTCCTTACACTAAGGACACACGTGTTGACACAGCTCCCTTAGCATAAGGAAGGGATACAACCCTCTTAGTCGCGGTGAAGGATCTTCTCAGGCACGAAGGGTACGTAGCCATGCTTTCTGTCGACCTTGACCCTGATGGGATGGACGAGCGGGTACTTCCTGCAGCAAGGTTTCCCTCTTCCCCTTGGGTGAGTCTGGTGAGTGCCACCATGCCTGATGGTCAGGACATCGCAATCCTGGGAGGTCAAGGTCGTATCACGGTCCGCAGCTGACAGAAGGAAAGACATGTATACACAATTTGTTTGTAACAAATATTGATAATGAGTGAGTATGGTTTTACGCCGCCTTTAGCAATATTCCAGCAATATCACGCCGGGGGACACCACAAATGGGCTTCACACATTGTACCCATGTCGGGAATCGAACCCGGGTCTTCGGCGTGACAAGAGAGCGCTTTAACCACTAGGCTACCCGACCGCCCCAAATATTAATAAATCTTACTCCATAGGAGGGCATTCTGTTTACTATCAGTTAAAGATATTAAGCGCTGGCTATACATTTTATATTCTTCTTTTAAAGAGAGTGAGTAGGAGAGTAGGCAGAAGCTATTTGACAGTGATTTTTTAGTATCTTCAGCAAATCACCTGAACATCAATCGCCAGCTATGGGTCCCCATCACATAGAATTAATCAGATCACGTGAGTACTATTTATATTCTACTTCTAATTTGGACACCCAATCCTCATTTGTAAGGCGTCACCTTCTACCAAAGCAGGTTCTTTAATTGAGTGAGTGCTTAACACCGCTTTGAACAGTGCTTTAGTTAAATCTGGGAGTAGTATAGGTAATGGGGGTTCTGGACCACTTCCACTGTAGCTGGATTTATATACCTATACTGCTACTACAGATGGAATTTTTTATGTCAAAATGAATTATGTGATTTAATGATAGTCATGAGATTAAGTTAAATTGGCTCCAGTTCACCACCACCTGGAGCCAATGATATAAATTTTTATAGGTAATAAGGGTTCTGGCTCACTTCCACTGGAGCTGGATTTATTACCTATACTGCTACTATAGGAGGAATTTTTTATGTTAAAATGATAATGTGATTCAACGATGAGTCTAAATGTGATCAAACGATAGTAAGCAATCTATTTTTAATCTCCAACCAGTTCTTTGGTTTTGACACGGAATAACTGACGCGCTTGTTGCCTCCCCTGTTCTATGAACCTTTTTTTCTCGTCTTCGCTAATACCACTGGTCTTACGAGATTTTGATCGAATCTCCTGCTTCATTGCATTGTATTTGGTGAGTTCCGACAGCACTAAACGAAACTCATCCTCGGATATCTTACAATCGGCCATTGCTGTTGAAATATGATCCTCAATGCTGTTCAACTTTGCTTCGGCGAGTATCCGAATACTATCGTGTTTTAATGCTTTCTTTTGTAACCTACGAGAAATGAATTTTATCGCTATTCCTGCCAGTCCCGAGACTCCAGCGGTTATTTCCATGCCGAGCACGATAGGTGCGGCGATTATAGTTGATAGTAAACCGATACCCGCTACACCGAGTCCAATACCAGATACTACAAGCGCGGTGTCAACTCCGTCCAGAACATTCACGACTTTGCGATACTTTTTATACAATCCAAGTCTCAACTCCCTATCCTTCCCTATTCGATGTTTTATGTCTTTTATTTGATGTAATCGAAATCCATCAACAGTTTCCATCTTTTCAAATGCTTCACCGAGCGCTGGATATAAACTCATAGTGTATATTATGATCATATAATAGTCTTTAATTGGTCTTGCTTAAATGTTTTGATAGTATACATCAATCTTATCAAATGTATATTATACGGCAAGAATATCTTAGTAAGAGAAATACTACCACTTTTAATAATTTGGACCCCCTCGAGGGTTGCAACGGGTGATGCTCCGATATGAATAATACTGCAACGTTGACGTTGGTGTTTCTTAAGCCATTTAATTGATAGACCTGGTAATATATCGAAGGCATCTTCCGGTGCATCTCCGAACAAGACTTCAATAATAAGCGTAGAAAGATTAGGTATTGCACTCAGGTTAACTTTAATTTCTTCGAATTCAGTAACCAAATTTAAAGTAACATTTTTTAAGGACGGACGACTATATAACATATGACCTGGGTTTTCTGACAGGGGAGTGACCAACACACTTTTTCGTTTTGATGGGATATAAGCCGCGAGTACGATGCCACTATTTATTATCTTAGTTAAATTATGTTCCTTACCCATCATCACATAAGGTGGGGTAATGATGATATTCAGTAGCCACTCGATGTTTGCTTCGATCATAGTCCATTTATTATCGTCGTTGTGAGTAATATTGTACGAAGTGTTTTTAAGGAGTCTACTTACATCGACATCGCTTAAATCTTCTAGATTACCCGTGAATGTGACTTCTTTCCGCTTGTATACATTATCGTGTAAGTGTAAAGCGTATAACTTACCATTGGTACCGGGTTTACCAAATCCTTCCGTGTCTCCGAGATCGGAAAGCGCAATTGTATTACATTGTCTTACTGTTCCAGGGCCTGATGCATCAACCATTATTTATAATATGGAGTGTTACGCTTAAGTATCCTATATGTACAGGTTGATGTTTTACATCTAATACAGAAATTTTGAAGTCTGAAATAATACCCCGCTTCAATTTTTTATATTGTAATGATGAGAAAGATTCCGTTCTACCGCTATTATATTTTTCATCTTTCACTGGAACACTTCTAAGCAGAGTTGAAGGACTTTCTAGTTGAATATTATTTGTTGTACTGATTTGATCAAGATGGATGCACAACTCTTTATAGGGAACTAAATCGGGTAATGTCTCTCCATCTTTTAATGTATTGGATATTTTTAATATTTGTGTAAATCCAAGTGTGTTTGTTAAGTTATTGTAAGGAAATACACTTTTTTTTTCTCCAGGGTATAATTTCAGTCTCCCATTCGCCTCATTTTGTGTGAGACTAGATCCATTAGGTTTAAAAAATTCATCATTGAGTGAGCATACGCTGTAATACCCATCAGGTATAGTAATGATTTTAGGAATATCATTTTCAACTATTAATAATTCATTATTTTCTTTCGCAGCATTTATATTGGTCCACCGTGGGTAATACGTTACATCGCATAGAGCTACTTCGAGTTGTCCATCCGAGTTATTGATAGTATGAAGCAGTTCAATAGACTGACCATTTGTTATTCCTGGGAGTGTAACATACATATTAAATATACAATGATACTATATCATAATTTAAATATGAAATCGAGATATATTACTAATCAATCGATTATAGTAACTGCCTCCGGTTCTGAATTTTTCGTTAAATTCCCAGATATCTTTGAAAAGTACAGGGTCACGGCAACTAGCGATAAAATGGTGCACGATTGGTTTCACAATCCGATGCAATTTTGGCAGAATCAGTTAAACTTTGCCATATGGTGTGCCACAACGGGATGTGGTGTATCTGTTAATGCTCCAGGATATATGCTAAATAAGTCTGTTTTATTATTTCATGTGTATTATCAGATTAGACGTATACTTAAAGAAATTAATGCTCCATTACCACAAGATCGAGCGTGGAATGTATCAAATAATCTGTATAATAGGGGGGTGTATGAACGTATTTGTAATGAATTTAATGTTTCTACGAGTAAAGATTGGCGTATTAAAGGAGCAAACCATGGTCTAGGTATTCCGTACGCTGGTGCACACTCTGTTAAAGAAGTCAGCGATGATTTATTGAAAAGGGGTCGGCTCCTTCCGAGCTTTGCTCTCTCAAGTAACGAGTGGAGAGATGATCGTATTAACTTTAAGGGTGGTGTTGCTTTCACCATCCAAAAGGTTGAGCAACCACCTGGAGACGCTTGGAATGAATTTCTTAATGATAAAACGGAAAATAATTTTACTAACCCAGGATTTGTAAGATTTAATGAATCGATAAGAACTTATGTATGGGCAATTCTCGGTGCACAATCGCAAACACGAACATCCATTATCGGTTCTGGGACGGCGCTCGATGCGCAAAAACAGTTTGTCGCAAACGTGGAGGACGCCATTAATTCACCAGTTGACATACCATCGTCTATAAAACGTTTTCAAGATGCATTACAGTACGCTCAATCCAAAGTGGACTTTGTTTATGCACCGGGACTATACATGTCTCCGAGTAATATGGAACTTAAGATCGGTCAAGTGATAGGCTATAATAATAAAATTGTTATCGCTACCGATCAACAAAAACCAGGTATTAATTCAGATATTAACGTCGAATTAATAACGCAAACGATCACGGGCGAAAAGGGAATAGTCAAGCCACAAACACCAACTATCGCACAACCATCTTTTATCGATCAACCATCTACTAATGCACACGCACAAGTACCACCACATATTGAGGCTAAAAATCAACAACATATCGATGAAAAAACAGCGCTTGTAGTGGGTGGAGTCTCGGTTGGTTTACTCATGATTTGGTTAAATAGTTCTTAGCGAATACGTACAACAGCCCTGCAATTGCCACGATCAGCCCCCACAAGTTTTGACTAAGCCAAGTGGTGGTCTTAGCTAATAAATTCAATAGCCAGGAAACTATACTCCCTATTATACCAGGAAGTGCGGCCGCGGCTTTCTCAGCGAGCTTTCCCAGTGCTGAACCTAATGCTTTTAAATGTTTTTTTATCCACTCTTTTATACCGTTTTTATCGCTGGGTGGTGTACCTCCACCTGTACCACCACCTGTTAATGAGAGAGTCAAAGTCGATATAATAAAACCCAACGCGGTTAAAATACTGGCAATTGTTATTCCCTGTTCTCTGAACAATGTTTTAATTTTATCGGCCAGTGTAGTGTCATCGTTGAGGACTTGATCGATAGTTTCTCGAATACGACTGATTTGCGAACGAAGTGCCTTTCTATTACTAGAAGCAGCTTCGAGGCGGGCCGATCTTTCGTCTTCTAAGTTACGCAATCTTTCCGCTACGCGGCGTCTACTGAACTCATCGCCCGCCTGTTCGAGTTTTGTTTTCTCTTGAGCTATATGCTTGTCGATTTCGGATATCTTGGCTATATTATTGATGAGTTCTCCCCGCATTGTTCGCATTGCCTTGTCAAGACCTCGTAATTCCCTAATACTGAACTCAGAGGATGGTACCTGTAACGTGGAATTATCGTAATAGGTATCTAAGATTTCTCCGAGTCCGTCCGAGGCCACCATCGAAGC